TGGGATTAAAGGCGTGCACCATTAATGCCCAGTGAAAGGATAGCTTTTTAGCACGTTCCTCATGTTTTCTGAGTGCATGGCTCATCTGCTGCCCAAGACTATCTGGAAGATGTCTATCTTAAAAATGGGAGAAACTGAGCCGGGAATTGGTGGCACACGCCTTTAGTCCGAGTACTCAGGAGGCAGAAGCAGGTGGATCTCTGTGAGTTCCAGGCCAGGCTGGTCTACAGAACTAGTTCCAGGACAGGTTCCAAAGCAATAAAGAGAAACCTTGTCTGGAAAAACAAACCAAAAAAACAAACAGAAAAAAAAAAGCGGGTTGGGGGGGGGGGTTGAGGGGTGGGGAGAAGGACTAAGGCAAGCTTGGAAAAGGAGAGGCCCAAGCCATGGCCTCCAGGCTCTGCCTTCCTCTTCTTGGAAGATGAGGCTCACAGAAGGATATGTATGACAGCAGCAGCCAGGCTGCTGAGAATGTGGAACTTGGGTAGAATCATCCACTGACAGGGACGCCAAGGCAGGGGCACAGCTGGGGATGTCTTCCTCGGTGCACAAAGGTGTGGCAGATCTGTTCCGATCATGGCTGCTTACTTTCCTCCTGGAAATTCATTTCGGGGGCTGGAGAGATGGCTCAGTGGTTAAGAGCTCACTGGACTCTTGTATAGGACTTGAGTTCAGTTCCCAGCTCCCAAGTCTGGCAACTTACAACTGCCTGTTACTCCAGATACAGGGGATGCCATGCCCTTTCTGGTCTCCAGGACACTTGCACTCCCGTGACACAGACACACATATACATAATAAAACGTTGTATTATACACAGTGAAAATGAGCCATAGCTACCATTTTTACCTGTGCACCTCGGTGGCAGTAAGCACCTCCCTTTCATCGGACCTCCTTGTTCTCCTCTCCCCTCAATCCTGCCCACCCTGCTGCGTTCATCGCTTCCCATTTTGCATTTGGGCTCTCATGTGGTCCAGACTAGCTTCAGACTAGCTGAAGTTGACCTTGAACTTCTGCTCTTAACTGCCTGTTTCCCCAGTGATAGATCACCAGCAAGCACCACCACATTCGGTTTATGCAGTGCTGGGGGTGGAACCCAGGACTTTGTGCGTGCAGTTCCAACACTGTACCCACTCAGCCCCACCCCAGCCCTGTTCTGTTTCTGTCTGTGTGAATCTGACCATTGTGGGTGCTGCTCACTGGTTATTGCTTAGTGTTGGCTCGTTTTACTTAGCTTGTCTTCAAGGTGGCTTCTCCACCACCTTGTAAGCCAGACTTGCGTTCTTGTTTGTAACTCTTAGGTGATCCTACAACGTTCGATGTGTCCACTCATCCTTTGATGGACATAGGGTTGCTTCTACCTTTTAACGGTTGTGACTAGTGACTAGCGATGCTATGACAAGGGTCTGACTGAACCCCTCCTTTGAGTTTTTTGAGTGTGTACAGTAAGGAATTACTGGCCATGTAGGAATTCCATGGCTAGCTGTCTGAGGAGCTGCCAGCAGCTGCTTGATGTCTGAACATGTCCTTCTCTTCCTATAAACTAGGAACCTTGTCACATGGTTGAGTTTGTTGTGGTTCTTGTGTGTGTGTGTGTGTGTGTGTGTGTGTGTGTGTGTGAGAGTGTGCACTCAGAGACCACAAGAGGACATTGGGTGTCCTGCTCTGTTACTCTGCCTTATTCCTTTGGGACAAGATCATTCACTGGCCCTGGAACTAGGTTGCCAGTCAGCAAGTCTCAGCAAGGCTCCTGTCTCTGCCCTCAGACTGCTGGGGTTACAAGTGGCCTTAGGTGACACCCAGCTATTTTTTGTTGTTGTTGTTGTTGTTGTTGTCTGAGACAGGGTTTCTCTATGTAGTTTTGGAGCCTGTTCTGGAAATAGCTCTGTAGACCAGGCTGGCCTTGTTGTTGTTGTCTGAGACAGGGTTTCTCTATGTAGTTTTGGAGCCTGTTCTGGAAATAGCTCTGTAGACCAGGCTGGCCTTGAACTCACAGACATCCCCTTGCCTCTGCCTCCTGAGTGCTGGGATTAGAGGCGTGTGCCACCACCGCCCGGCTAACACCTAGCTTTTAATGTGCCCACTGGGACTGCAATTCAGGCCCTCATGCTGTGCAACAAGTAGGTCTCTCACCCACTGAACCATCTCCCAGCTCCTTGTGGTTTTCTTCCTTTCTGCATTAAAAATAAATTTCATACAATATGTTTTTATCATGTTTTTTTCCCCATCCTCACTTCCTCTCAGCTCAGCCCTACCCACCCATCTTTATGTTCTTTTTCTCTCTCTTAAAACAAATAAACAGCTGGGCAGTGGTGGGGCATGCTTTTAATCCCAGCATTCAGGAGGCAGAGGCAGGCGGATCTCTTGAGTTTTGAGGGCAGCCTGGCCTACAGAGCGAATTCCAGGACAGTCAGGGCTACACACAGAAACCTTATATCACACACACACACACACACACACACACACACACACAAAAGACCAACCACACAGAAACCCAAAAAACCAATAAATGAATAAATAAAACATACACACTTTTTTTTTTTTTTTTAAATCATGAATGGTGTTCATCTGTGGGCACATGTCAGGCCTGGGAATGCCAAGGCTTTTCCAATTGGAGGATTCCCAGCCAACTTGCCCGACATAGTAGATGTATTGCAAGTAATTCTGAATGGAAAATTTCAGGAGGGCCAGGCAACATTTCTGTGTCTCAGCTGGGTCCTATAGCGAGCCCTGACTGCGTGCCATTTTACACATTCCTCTCAGGGCCCTCCTCTTCCAGTGTGACCCAGGAGTCTCAGCTAGCACCCACTGTTTTCCCAGCACCTAGAGAGCCTCCTTGATTAGCACACAGCTGTCGTCTCATCCGAGGATGCACTTACTTAACTCCAGCTGTGTCTGTGACATTTGTCCACCAGAATTTGTCAAACGCAGGAGCCAAAGGATAATGTTCTATCCCAGCAATGTTGAGTGAGAATTGACAACCTGAAGGCATGTGTCAGTTTGCACGCTCTCTCTCTCTCTCTCTCACACACACACAAATTGATATACAAGTTCACGTGACATACAAATTTTTTTTTGAGGGGGAGGAGCAGTGCAGTAGAACCCAAAGCTTCTCAAACCCTAGTTAGGAGCTTTACTGTCAGTCTGCTGGCTGCACCCCTTTCTTTCATTTTAAACTTGAGACAGTTCTCACTGTATAACTCTGGTTTGCCTGGAGCTCATTATGTAGACCAGAACGACCTGGAATTCACAGAGATCCTCCTGCCTCTGTCTCTGGAGTGCTGGGAATAGAGGTGTGCACCACCATGCCCGGTGGATTAACCCTGCTAAGCAGTAGTTCATTGCATTTTGTATATGCCCGGAGTTGTGAAACCACTACCTCTGTCTAGTTTCAAGACATCATCACCAAGATGAAACCCTATACCCGTTAAACAGTCACTGCATTGCCCCCAGAGTGCTCCGTAGTCCTAGGTAATATTTTCTGTCTCCATGGCTTTACTTAGTACAGAAATTTCATTCCCATGGAATTATGCAACACACATGGGCCTCTTGGGATTGGCCTTGCATTCTGCATGACGTTTTCAGCTTTCATCTGTATTGTGGCCATTGCCAGTGCTCTTTCATGATGTTTGTACGTGCCACATTTTGCTTATTTATGTCCTGACTTCCTTCTCTTAGCTACAATGACTGGTGCTGTTTGGGTGTCCTCTGACTTTTCGAGGAACCACCCACAGGTGGCCATCTTGGTTTCCTAGGTGGTGCTGGGGATTTGGACTTGGGTTCCTGTGCCTGTAGGGCAGTCACTCTTACACTGAGCCATCTCCTCAGCCTGTTTGTTGTAAGACAAAGTCTCAGTTTATAGCCTGAGCTGACCTGGAGCCCCCACACTTACAAGACAGATGTCTGATAGCCCATCCATGATGCTGCTTGTGGCATCTTAGGAGTCCATGGGAGAAGTCTGCCTCAGTTCAGCAGGGAAGATACATACCTATCTAGCATTAAAAAATATTCCAACTAATTACTAACTCGTGTGTGTGTGTGTGTGTGTGTGTGTGTGTGTGTGTTTAGTGTCTGTGGCAGCCAGAGGCATCAAATCCCCTGAAACTGGAGTTAGAAGCAATTGTGAGCTATACAACGTGGGTGCTGGGGAATCAAACTCAGGTCCCCTGCAAGAGCAGCAGGTGTTCCTAAGAGCTGAGACATCTCTAGCAACAGATGGTTTCACTAGTTAAAGATTCAGCCGGGAGCAAAGATGGAGATAGTTGGTTTTTGAGGGCTTGCTCATCAGCCAGCCTGGCCTAATTAGAGACCCCAGCTTCTGCTGAGAAATCCTGTTTCCAAGAACAAAGTTGGAGGGCTGGAGAGATGGCTCATTGGTTAAGAGGACTTGAGTCCAATTCCCAGCACTCACATGGCACCTCACAGTCACCCATACATAATCCAGTTCCTGTGACTCCAGTGCCCTCTTTTGGTCTCCTGGGCACCCATCAGACACATGGTGCAGACACACACACACACACACACACACCAGCCATACACATAAAATAGTTTAAAGCTGGAAGTGGCGGTACACACCTTTAATCCCAGCACTCAGGGAGGCAGAGGTAGGTGGATCAAGAATATATTTTTCCATAAACTGGGAGATCACATCACATCCTGTTTTGCAATATTTTATTTTTTTTCAAATATAGCTATTGTTGTGTAGTCCAGGCAGATCTTGAACTCCTGTGTCAACCTTCTAAGGGTTCAGATTATAGACATGGACCACCACAACTGGCTGCACGTTTATTTTTTGTTTGCTATGAGACAGAGTCTTGCTCTGTAGCTCAGGCTAGCCTGGAGCATGCTGTCGTAGCCTAGGCTGGTATACTCCTGTCTCAGCTTCCCAAACATTTTACCACCATGTTGGCCGCAAGTTTTAGGGATGCCAAACGTGTGCACAAATCAGAGGAGCGACTGCTTTCCCATCCCTGTCTTGCTGACCCTTTTTTTTCTTTCTGCAGGCATCTGTGCTGCCCATGGAAGTGCTCCGGCCTGTCGGATGAAGTTGGTACACACACCATGTCATCATGTGTCTCTAGCCAGCCTACCAGCGACCAGGCAGCCCCTCAGGATGAGCTGGGAAGTGGGCGTGGCAGCCGGGAAAACCAGAAGCCCTGCGAGGCCCTGCGAGGACTCTCATCCTTAAGCATCCACTTGGGCATGGAATCATTTATTGTGGTCACCGAATGTGAGCCAGGCCAGGGAGTGGACCTTAGCCTGGCCCAGGACCAGCCTCTGGAGGCCGATGACCAGGAACTTCCCCTTGATGCCTCAGAATCTGAGGCACGGCCCACACTTTCTGGTCGCAAGATGTCTCTGCAGGAGAGATCCCAGGGTGGGCCAGCATCTGGCAGCAGCCTGGACATGAATGGACGCTGCATCTGCCCATCCCTGTCCTACTCCCCACCCAGCTCCCCACAGTCCTCCCCCCGGATGCCCCGGCGGCCCACAGTGGAGTCGCACCATGTCTCCATCACAGGTTTGCAGGTTCGTGAGTAGTGTGAGCTGTGATGGGGGTGGGTGGGGATGGGAGGCTACATACTGGCATGAAGTCTTAAAAGAAGCAAACCAAGCACTCCCTTCACATTTTGACTACACAAACATTAATTTTGCCTTTGACTACTCCTGGGTAAACTTCCCACAGTCCAGACCGAGGCTGTCTCCTAACGGCTGGGTAGCTACTCTTCCCTCACTGCTCCTTTCCCAGTAGCTGCTGAACCCTGATTGTTTTGTTTCTTTGAGACAGGATCTCACTGTGTATCACAGGCTGGCTTTGAACTTTCCATGACCCTGTCTGCTCATCCTCACCCTCCTGAATGCTGAGGTCACAGGTGTGCCACGCCACTCCTGGCATTCTGAAGTGCTTTTAGAGTAGTTTGCAAATTCTAGGAGTTTATGTAAGCAGGTTCATTGCCGGTGCACTCTTTTTCAGCTCAGTTTCCTCTCCAGCATAATGATTTTGAGATTCTTCCATGCCATTGGATACACTCTTGGCCCCGATAGCTACAGAGCCAGCCAACCCTGAAAATATTCAGAGGAAAGAAATTTGCAACTGTATGAGCCTGTGCAGGCTATTTTTTCTTGTCATTAAATGATAATTTAAATAGTTCCTGCCTCTGAGCACTAGAGTAGAATGACTTACATAACACCGACATTGTATTAAATATATAAGTAACTTGGAAATGATTTAAAGTGTGTGTGTGAGCAGGAGAGATGGCTCAGTGGAAGAGGGATGGCTGCACTTACAGAGGACCCGAGTTCTATTCCCATCACCCACGTGGAGGTTCACAACTGTCTGTAACTCCAGAGGACCTGATGCCCTTTTCTGACCTGCAGGGACATCTTACACACACACACACACACACACACAGAGATAAAAAAGAAGATGTAAGATGTGGGGGGAGAGGGCTGAGTGTGACGGGATATATCTATAAGACCAGAACTCAGGAGGCAGGGACAGGAGGATCATTGCAAGTTCAAGGCCAGCTTAATCTTTATAATGAGCTCGAGGCCAGATGGGCTGTCTCAACTTCGTAGTGCCAAAATGTAAGAGAGAGGCTGTATGAAGGTTATGTTCTGTACTGAAACAGTGCTGTGCCATTTTCTATAAAATTTGAGCTCTTGGCATATGCCTATTTCTTCAGGGTTCTGCAACCAGTCCGTACAGATGCTGAGGGACATGTATATTACTAGTCGCTTTATTTTACTTATCTAAAAATTTCTTTTGAGGTATGATCTCATTGTATCCTGGCTGGCCTCCAGCTCACCTGCCTGTGCTTCATGAGGGCCTTTGCTGTTTGTTCCTTTTTATACTGAATGTTTTCACTTCTCTTGGATAATCCTAGAAGCAGAATGGTAGGTCCTATGGAAGGTATATGTTAAGAAACATCTGGTGGGCCGTGGCTCAGTTGGTAAAGGGCTCACTTAGCATGTGCAGAGCCCAGAGTTCGACCTCTAGCACCTCGTGGTGATATACTTCTAAAATCCCAGCAGATAAAGGCAGGAGGACCAGCCCTTCAAGATCATCTCAGCTAGGTATCAGTCAGGTTTTTCTTTTCTTTCTTTCTTTTTTTTTTTTTTTTTTTTTTTCAAGACAGGCGGTCTTTATGTAGCTTTAGAACTTGTCCTGGAACTTGCTCTGTAGACCAGGCTGGCCTCGAACTCATAGAGATTCACCTGGCTCTGCTTCCCAAGTGCTGGGATTAAAGGTGTGCACCACCACTGTCTGGCATGTTTTTTTTTTTTTAACCTTTTCTTTTTAAATTTACTTTTATTTAATGTGCATTGGTGTCTGGCATATATGTATATCTGTGTGAGGGCATTGGATCCCCTGGAACTGGAGTTATAGACTGTAAGCTGCCATGTAGGTGGTGGGAATTGAACCTGAGTCCTCTGGAAGAACAACTAGTACTCTTTAACCACTGAACCATCTCTCCAGCATAGTATTGGGTTTTTCTAACAGGGTATCTTTTATTTATTCTTTGACAATGTGTGCATGTTAACATTGTAACTTAATTGTATCCACCCAATATCTGTCCCCTCCCTCTCCTTCTCTACACTCTGAACACACCCCCCTGTCCCCTTCATGCCCTCTCTCTTTTTTTTTTTTTGTAACCCATTAAATCCAGTCAGTGCTGCCTTTTGTAATATTAACTGCTCTTGCTGGATTGATCTTGTGGGAGTACCCAGACAGTTCATGAATACAGCGGCCATGGCATTTCACAGTAGTCCTCCCTATCCTCTGGCTGTTCCATTGTTTTCTGTCCCCCTTTGAGATACTCTCTGAGCCTTGGTGGAGAGGGGCGGCGTGGATGACCTGTTTAGGCTCCAACTCTCTCTCTCAGCGCTTGGACTAGTTATGAGTCTCTGCGTTAACTGCTGACCACTGCAGAGAGGTGCGTCTCTGGCCAAGGCTGAGGACAGCACTAATGTACAGGTATAAACCCAAATATTAGGAGGCAGTCCAACAACGTGTCATTTAACAAAGCAGCCGTAGTAGGTTTCCCTCGCAGGGCTTGTGATCTACCTCCCTCCACAGCTGTGAGCTTTTGGTCAGCTTTACAGTATCAAGCTTGAATTCCCTCCCGTGGAGTGGGCCTCAAATCCAATCAGAAAGTGTCTGTTTCCTTCATAACTTTTGTGTCATTATGGACACATCTTGCTTAACAGGTCAGGATTTTAGCGTACAGGATTTGCTATTGGGTGACACCCACCATTGATTCTTCTTCCCCGTGGCCTGCATGGCTTCTTTAGTTCTGTGAAAGCTAGCCAGAAAGGTGGAAGTTCTAGCTATGTTTTTAACCAAGGTGTGTTGTGTCTTCAGCAGTAGTTTTACTGTATACTTATGGTGGGCAATGGTAATAGCCCATGTTGTTTTAGGGGCCTGTGGGCCTCTCTGACCTGTAACTTGTAGAGAGGTAGCTCTGAGATACTTAGATTTCCATTCGATAGTTCATGTCTTCTGGGGTAAGTGTTGTCCACCACGCAAGGCTACTTGTGTTCAAACTTTTTTTTTTTTTTTGAGACAGGGTTTATGTATCTATGTAGCCCAGACTTCCCCAGAACTTTCTATGTAGACCAGGCTGGCCAAACTCAGAGATCGCCTGCCTCTTCCTCTCCAGTGCTGGGATTAAAGGCGTGCACCATCATACTGTATCAGGTCTGAGGCCTGCCTGGAATAGATGAGATGCTGCCTGCTCTCCCCACTTTCCATTTGGCCATGTGGGGAGTTGTGTGTGCTCTGCTTTCTCTATCTTTATTAGCTGCCTTGTGTACTTCAGGTATATTTCCTCAGCGACTGCTCATGCTTAACGACCATTTATCCACCTTTAAAGAAACTTTTGTTCAGGGCTTTTGCTCAGTTTTTAATAATAATCTTTTAAGTTTTGTAATTATATCACTTCCCCCTCCCATATATCCCCAACCTTGCTCTCTCTCCGACTCAAGGCCTCTTTTTCTTTAGTTGTTACAGATATACATATTCTTAAATACGTAAACCTGTTCAGTCTATAGAATAATTTTTCAATCTCCCCCTTCCTCCCTCCCCCTCTATCCCCCCCACCTCTCTGACACAGGGCTGTGTAGCCAAGGGTACAACTTAGTGGTAAAGTGTTTGTCTAGCATGCACAGGGCCCTGAGTTTAATCCCTAATTCACCCCCATGATAATAAAAATAATATATATACTCTTTGTATGTTGATGTGTGTTCATGTGTGCACAGGTGCACATGTGTGTGAGGTTACAGATGAGGGCCATATTGTCTTTCTAGAATGGTCTGTCACTGGGATCTAGAGTTTGTTAGTTAGGTTGGCTGGCCAGTGAGCACCAAGGACCCTTGTGTCCGTGCCTCCATGCTGCTGGGACTACAGGTGTATACCCCCATACCTATAGGTTCCCAGCGTCAAATTCAGGTCCTCATGCTTGTCTAGCAAGCACATTACCATCCGAGCTATTTCTTGATTTTGTAGTCATTATTGTTTTGGTTTTTGAAACAGGGTCTTATATGTAGCTAAGGTTGCCTTCAGACTTGCTAAGTTGCCAATACCGGCCTTGAAGTCTGGATTCTCCTGCCTCAGCCTCCCAACTGCTGGAACTCTCTGTGGACCCAAGTCCTGGTTACATGTATACATATGTTTGTGACATATGTGTCTTTAGCTCCTGTGAAAGTCATCTCATCCGTGCCCTTCCTTGCTTTCCAGGACTGTGTGCAGCTGAATCAGTACACATTGAAGGATGAAATTGGAAAGGTAAATGTCCTAGGAGCTGGGTTGCCTTTGTACCTTCACCAGGGATGTCCCTGACACACCATACTCCAGAGGGAACCAGCAGAGCTGGGTGGGAAGAGGAAAGGACCTTTGGAGGCAAAGGCTGGTGGGCTGAAAGGGTTTGCCATTCATAGGTGTGTGTGTGTGTGTGTGTGTGTGTGTGTGGTTGTGTGTTGTGTGTGTAGGCTAAAGGTTGATGTCAGATGTTTTCCCTCAGTACCTCTCTGCCTTATTCTTTGAGACATGGTCTCTCACTAAGCCGGAAACTCATAGGCTCTTCTGTGGTTGCCCACCGCCACCCAGCACTGGGATTATAGGTGTGTGCTACTACATCTGGCTTTTTACGTCAGTGCTAGGGATTTGAATTCCTGTTCATGTGGCCAGCATTTTACCTGGTGAGCCATCTCACCAGACTTATTTTTAAAAATGCCTTTTTGGGATATGGTCTCACTATGCATTCCTAGCTAGTCTAGGACTCACTAGGGAAGACTGAAGCTAACTGTCGAGCTGTGGAATGAGGCTCCATGAATGAAGCAGGCTAGGCATGCGGGTGGGGTAGCAGGATAAACTGTTTTTGTATGGCCAGACTTTACAGGGTTTTCAACCTGGGTTTTTATATTCTGCCCATTTAAATGTTAGCAGTTCATTTGGACTGCAAAAATGGTAAGTCCAACAGAATGCAATCTCAGGGTACATTTTCCCAGTGAGCTGCAGTCTGTAGCCTGTCAGAGCCATCATTTCACAGAGCACCATGTCTGGCTACTATATCACGGGCATCTCTCTTTATCCAGGGCTCCTATGGTGTGGTCAAGCTGGCCTACAACGAAAATGACAATACTTACTATGTGAGTATCCACATCCTCATCCAAAGGAAAGCTTCGAGCCCAGTTAGTGCACTTGTTCTCCTATTCTGCTCTTAGGTTGTTTAGAAGGAAGTGATGCCCCCATTTTGTAGATGAAGAAATTGGGCAGGGAAGGGATGGCCTACCAAGTGCCGTTCATGCCCTTGCTCTGAGCTGTCCTTTCTGCCTCTTCCATAGCCCCAAGAACAAGGCATAGCTGGACAGAGTGAGTGACCTTGTAGCTGAGGTTTGGAGTCAGTTCAGCATAGGTTCAAACCCTGGTTCTAACATATTAACAACATGTCTTTGGGCAAGCCGCCACCACACCCCTTTCTCACTGGCTCACTTGTCTGACACAGTGGTAGGAGTCTTGAGCTGAAGGGTCCCCAGCTGTGCTGACCAGGAGCCTCCAGGGGTGGCACTGACACAACTCACCCAGTACCAGCTTGCTCCGATGGTGACTTGGCTGTCACTGCTTTGTCCTGAGGCACCACTCCTGGGAGCTCAGTGAGAGGCTTGGAGAGGAGAGAGCCTGCCATCTCCCCCCCTGCTGCCTTTAACTGGACTTGGGGGGGGGGGGTCTTTCCTTCTGCAGGCGATGAAAGTGCTGTCCAAAAAGAAGCTGATCCGACAGGCTGGTTTTCCACGTGAGTGTGGTGGGCTTTGTTCTCAGGTGTGGGGGGACTGAGGCGAGATCAGACAGAGCCAGTGAATGTGACACTCGGGGAAGACACCACATCCTGCACAGAGCTTCCCCTGAAAGCCATGCTGAGCTTCTTGCTGTGGGTCCTAATTCATTTTTATTTAAGAGTTTAAAAGCTGAATTTGAGGGCTGGGGAGATGGCTCAGCAGTAAAGGCTCTTGCCACCAAACCCTGATGGTCTTGAGTTTAATCCCCAGGGCCCACAGAGTAGTAGAGAAGCGACTCCTACAAGTGGCCCTCCAACACCGACATTCATTCTGTAGCATATACATGCCAAAATAAATAATAAATAAAAAGCTGAACATGGCCATCAACAAAATAAATAAATAAAAAGCTTGCCACGTGTCTTAGTGTCTTTCCCTGGTGCTCTGACAAAAGGCTGGCAAAATCAACGTTAGTGTGAAACCCTTTATTTTGGCTCCTGTTTGGGATGTTAGAGGGGCAAGAGTGTGAGGCAGCTGGCTACACTGCATCCACAGGCAGGAAAGGCAGCTGGTTACACTGTATCCACAGGCAGGAAAGGCAGCTGGCTACACTGCATCCACAGGCAGGAAAGGCAGCTGGCTACACTGCATCCACAGGCAGGAAAGGCAGCTGGTTACACTGTATCCACAGGCAGGAAAGGCAGCTGGCTACACTGTATCCACAGGCAGGAAAGGCAGCTGGTTACACTGCATCCACAGGCAGGAAAGGCAGCTGGTTACACTGTATCCACAGGCAGGAAAGGCAGCTGGTTACACTGTATCCACAGGCAGGAAAGGCAGCTGGTTACACTGTATCCACAGGCAGGAAAGGCAGCTGGTTACACTGTATCCACAGGCAGGAAAGGCAGCTGGTTACACTGTATCCACAGGCAGGAAAGGCAGCTGGTTACACTGTATCCACAGGCAGGAAAGGCAGCTGGTTACACTGTATCCACAGGCAGGAAAGGCAGCTGGTTACACTGTATCCACAGGCAGGAAAGGCAGCTGGTTACACTGTATCCATAGGCAGGGGCAGAGAGGAATGGATGCCAGTGTTTAGCACCTTTTCTCCACTGACAGTGCAGGATCCCAACCAGAGACTGGTGCCACCCATAGCGGGTATGCCTTCCACCTCAGTTAATGCAATCAAAATACCCCCCCCCCCCGCCCCGCCACCATCTCAGTTAACCCTAGATTCTTCCTCGTTAATAACATTAATCATCACACCTTAGGACCCAGCAACTTCTCTCTAGCAGCCAAGAGAAAAAGCTTGTTCATACATGATTAGCAGCACTGTCCACATTATCTATTGAGTGGAAATATCTCTAGTGGCCCTGAACTAATGAGTAAGTAAAATGTATATGCATCTGGTAGATTAGTATCCAGCCATCATAGAGTACTAATTTTTGAAAATTACGTGTTTGAAAGCATGCTAAATGAAAGAGACCAGACTCAAAAAGTCATTTACTATATAATACCATTTATATAAAATATCTAGAATAGGCAAATCCACAAGGAAAAAAAAGTAGATCAGCAGGAGGAAGAATCAGATTTGGAAAGACCAACAACAATGTCCTACAGTTATCTGATGGCGATGGCACTAAAAACTACTAAACTAATGCTCAGATATGGAACACATGCCTGTAACCCTAGCACTCAGCAAGTGGAGGAGGAGGATACAAGGCCAGATCCAGCTGATTCAGACCTTGTTTAAAAGCACACACGTGAAGAAGAAGAGGAGGAGGAGGAGAAGAGTAATTAAAAAAAAAAAGAAAAGAAAAGAGCTGGGTGGTGATGGCATATGCCTTTAATCCTAGCACTCAGGAGGCAAAGGCAGGCAGATCTCTGTGAGTTCGAGACCAGCCTGGTCTACAAGAGCTAGTTCCAGGACAGCCTCCAAAGCCACAGAGAAACCCTATCTTAAAAAACCAAGAGAAAAAAAAAAAAAAAAAAAAAAAAAAAAAGAAAAGAAAAGAAAAAGAAAACCGGCTGAGTGGTTGTCACACATGCTTTTAATCCCAGCACTCATGAGACAGAGGCAGGAGGATCTCTCTGAATTTGAGGCCAGCCTGGTCTACAGAGTGAGTTCTAGGACAACCAGGACTACACAAAGAAACCCTGTTTCAAAACACCAACCAACAAACCAAACAAACAAAACCCCACACATTTAAAATGTTGAATTTTTTAAGCAGTTAAATATGGGGCCTGAAGTCATAGTGCACTTGTTTAAGCCCATCACATGGCAAAAGTAGGTGGATCTGTGAATTCAAGGCTAGCCTGGTCTCCATAAACTTCAGGAGAGCAAGACTTGCCTCAAAAATAAATAAATAAAATAGTACCAGGAGTTGGGGCGACGGCTCAGTGGATAAAGAGCTTGCCTTGTAAGTGTTAAGATAGAGTTCAGATGCCCAGAACCCACATAAAGCTGGGCTGCAGTCACCTGTAATCCCAGCTACCACCGCGTCTAGCCCTGGCTTTTGTCTTTGACACAGGCTGACTTCAAGCTGTGGTTCCTCGTGCTCAGCCTCACTCCTGCCTCCTTTCCAGGCCGAGGCTTACCTCAGGGCCCTTCCTTGCACACCCTTTCCAGCACCTGAACCTGTGCTGTATGTTTTCCTTGCCCTGGCTTGATCACAGTGTCACTCTGCTCTGCTTATCACCCTTCCAGGCCTCCTCACACGGGATGTGTGACACTGCAGTTCTGACATTTGTCTATTCACATTCTTACAACTCTCTCTGAGTAACACTCCGTCCTGCCATAGTCCTCTCGTCTTTTTCTCTCATTGACTCCTTTCTTTGTTTCTCCTCCCTGGCCTTCTTGTACATCTGGACCATTTCCTGCATCAAGGAGAGAAATAATGTTTTTATCTGCATACACTGAGCCCCAAAGGGAAGTTACTGATTTATATGAGGGTTTGTTGTTTGTTTGTTTGTTTATTTATTTCAAAATAGGGTTTCTCTGTAGCTTTGTAGCCTGTCCTGGAACTCGCTGTGTAGACCAGGCTGGCCTCAAACTCACATAGATCTGTCTGTCTCTGCCTTCTAAGCCCTGGGATTAAAGGTGTGGGCCACCACTGCCCAGCTGTTTATTTTGCTTTGAGATAGTATCTGAGATTGGCCTTATACTTTCTATGTATGTAGTCAAGGGTGAACTTCTAATCTTCCTTCTCCCTCCCTCATGCTAAGATTTCAGGGGTGCATCCCCACACTCTGTTTTATGCTGTACTGGGGGTCCATCCCGGGACTTGGTGTGTGCTAGGCAGGTGCTCTACTCACTAAGCTAAACCCGCAATCCCTTTCCTGGGATGTTGAGAACATTGATACATCTGAGCCAGACCAGTGTCCCCAGTGAGCCTCGGTCACTTTGGGTTGGGCATTGTGACAGGAAAAGGGGATTGACTGGGAGAACAGGAGGGCTGGGGACACCCACCTCCCTGATTTCCAGGAGTGGGGGAAGCGTGAAGAGAGGGCTGCTCCCAGCTCCCAGAAGTCCTTTGACCTTTGCCCCATTAGCAGCTGCCCTCTGCAGAAAGTCTCTGCCTAACTCTGTGCTTCCTGCAGGTCGTCCCCCACCCCGAGGGACTCGCCCAGCTCCAGGGGGCTGCATCCAGCCCAGAGGCCCCATCGAGCAGGTGTACCAGGAAATCGCCATCCTCAAGAAGCTGGACCACCCCAATGTGGTGAAGCTGGTGGAGGTGAGAAGGGAGGAGGGGGGGTGAGGCTGATGGTCTAGCCCCGGCTTTGTTAACATTTAAACACTTAACTGCTAAGACCCCTAGAGAGTCAAGTCACAGTACACATCTGCCTCACAGCTGAGGGCCTTGTTGCCTCACAAGCCCTCACATTCTTCATGTTCCTGTAACTGCTCAAGACTGCTTATTGCTCCCATTTTACAGATGCAAAAGTTGAGGCTGAGAGTTCCGAGGCTTGCCCTTTACCTACTTCTTTTTCTTTGAAGCTGGCAGTCTTTCTACTATACACGAAGGTAGATGGAACATAGAAGTAGCTACACATGCTTGCTTGTGCTGCAGCACCATATACTAAGAAAAAAATTGGAATGCTATACAGATTAGCATGACCTCTGTACAAGGATGATAATGCAAAATCATGAAGAAGAAGGAGAAGGAGGAGGAGGAGGAGAAGAAAAGTAGCTACACATACAACCAGCTCAGAGGGCAGAGGCACTTGATGCTGCATGATCTGAGTTCGATCCTCAGGAGGGGAACTAACTCCACAGAGTTGTCCTCTGACTTCCACATGTGCACTGTGGTGGTATAAACACACACAAGATAGTAACAGCAACAACGATAATAATTTAAACAAAACAACAGTGGTGCACGCTTAAAGGCAAGAGGGAGTCAGGTCTCTGTGACTTTGATATAGTAGATATAATGAATTCCAGGCCAGCCAGGGCCTGTCTTCCTGCCTGGCTATTCTGGCAACTGTCCAGTCAGTGTTTATTCATCTACCAACAAGAGAAGCGTGTGTATACAGAAGGATGTCCCCATCACTGGGCTATAAGCACGTGCCACCGTGCTTCACTTAAAAAATCATCTATTTTATTTTTAATTATGTATGTGTGATGGGGTATGTGCATGTACCTGCTGACGCCAGAGGTGTCAGGTCCCCTGGAACTGGAATTAGAGGTGGTTGTGAACGGTATGGTTTGAGTGCTGGGAACGGATCGCTGTCCTCTGCAAGAGCGGTAGGTGCTCTTAACCCCGAGTCATCTCTCTAGCCCTCACCAGCTTTCTTACATGGGCTCTGGGGACTAAAGTCCTTGTGTTTGTAAGGCAGGCACTTTACTGAGTCCTCTGCTCTTTGAAACAAGCAAACCAACAAAACAAAACAAAAGAAATGAAAAAACAATGTTTTTATACTTTTGCTACTGGTGGTTGTTGTTGCTGCTGCTGCTTTTTTTTTTCTTTTTCTTTTTCTTTTTCTTTTTTGTTAACATTTGGCTTACTAAAAGGTATCTGGATTTTCTATCTGCTTTTGTGCCTTCTGGACATTGGATACAAGTAGAGAAGGAGTGGAAAAGGCCATTGTTGTCGTGGTCTTAAAGTAAAAATAGTTTTCATATGATGTCCCCTTGAAGGTGATTTGGGGACTCCCCCAGAGGCCCAGATCCAATCTGGAGCACCTCTGGCCCAGCTTGTCACCAACCTGGTAAAGGACGGTGTAGGCTATGGAAGGGGGCATGGAAGGCTGTGGAGATCTTTGAAGTGGCTGTAGCTATTTCCTGGTTAGCAAAGACAACAGAGGATATTTCAAGGAAAAGAACATCATATGTAAGGACTTTGAGCCTCGATATTTGGGGAACATATCCTTGCCTTTGGGATAGGGGGATATTGCCAATCCTTTCCTGGGGCCCATGGCTATAGAGCTCTAGGTGGACCCTGGGTCTGAGCTGCCCTTGAGATGGATTTCCCAGCTCTGTCTGCAGTCTTGTGCGTCTCGGGTGGCTGGGGAAGGTAGGCTGTGTGGAAGAGATAGGGGACTTAGTCTAACCACAGGGGTCTTGCCCATGCCTCTCCCCAAAAGAGAGAGTAGCTACAAGGTGTTACCCCCTTTCCTGACACCATGCTGCGATCCTGATCTCAATTCTCCAATGGCGGAGTTGGCTGTCTTAGCCAAAGCCCTGGCATGGTCTCAGGTTGCCCTGAGTCCTAGTGGGATCACTTTTCTCCCCAGTACCCCATGCATCTGACCTTTCCACCCAGCTCAGCAAGACCATACAGCCATTCTGTTTGTTTATGTATCAGGTATTTCTTGGGTACCTACTCTGTGCCTGGCACATATACATCATTACCAAGACAGTTTAGGTGGACACATTTGGGACCTGCTCATTGGACAGAGATAGGAACAGTCATGGAGACATGCCATGCTAATGTGGAGAGGTGTGGATCTGCTTCATGGAGGGGCTGTTTGAGTTCAAGTAGGGTTTAACTTTCACCCTGAAGCCAGGACATGTTTTTTAGGAGATGGGCTGCACTGGTATCTGAGGGTGGGGCATTTTTGGGGAGAGTCTACTCCTCCCTACTGTTTTTCAGGGTGTTCCAGACCTTGAGGACCAGCCTGGCCTGAGGACAAGTGAACTAGGCTATCCCACTCTGGGGATTTCTGTCTTCCTCCTTGACAAGAAGAAGGGTGGGAAGTGCACCTTCCGTGGGCACAGCATCTCACTCATGTACTTCCTCTCGCTCATGTTTGTTCTTTCTCTCCTTGCTCCTGTTGTTGGGCCGCTGTGCCATCAGGTCCTGGATGACCCCAATGAGGACCACCTGTACATGGGTAAGAGCGCTCCTCTTTGTCTGCACTGAGGTAGCTGCATTTGTCAATGCCTGGGTGTCCTCTCTGGATAGCTGTAGCCCTGGAGCCACCAAGCACAGGTTCCCCCACAGAAGCCCACACGCCTGGCTTAAAGCAGGGGGTGGGAGGGAGTTCTTGCTGGGACTTTCCACATCTGGATCTCCTATGTAGTCATTTGCAGCTCTTTATTGAGCACCTATGGTATATTCAAAACTGTCTCAGGCACTGAGGATAGTGTGATAAGAAAGAGGCCTTTCTTACAGCCGATACCCCAGCCGGGAAAGATAGTGTTGATAAATAAACCAGAATACTAGATTTCTTGTTTTGTTTTGTTTTGCTTTTGTTTTTCGAGACAGGGTTTCTCTGTATTGCTTTAGAGCCTGTCCTGGAACTAGCTGTGTAGACCAGGCTGGCCTTGAACTCACAGAGATCTGCCTGCGTCTGCCTCCCAAGTGCTGGAACTAAAGGCATGCACCATCAATGCCTGGCTTGAGAACATTATTTTAAGGGTAAATAGTTTGGGTGATGCTGGTACACACCCTGAATCTCAACACTTGGGAGGCAGAGACAGCCACATCTCTGAGTTCAAGGCCATCCTGGTTAGCAAGTTCTAAGCCAACTAGGGCTAAATAGCAAGACTACCATAAAGCAAAACAAGAAGTGGGAAGAAAGAGTGAGCTGTTCTCAGAGTATCCTCATGTAGTTCCTAGAGTGCACGGTGGGTGGTCCATAGCACCTATAACTGGGAGCCAGGGAACTATGGTGCAAGGGCACCTGCTTGCATGTACACAGACCCACATACACCTGTATTTAGAAATAATAAAAGTTAGCTGAAACTACGCTCAGAGTACTTATTTCCTTTCCCCCAGCTTTGTTTTCCTTCTGTACCCTTGACTCTGTGTGTGTGTGTGTGTGTGTGTGTGTGTGTGTGTGTGTGTGTCAGAGAGAGAGAGAGAGTACAAGCATGAGTACATACATGTTTGGTCATTCATTCCTGGGGCTCAAACCCAGGGCCTAATGTACTGTACCACTGGGCTATATCTCCAGCCTCCCTTTTGAGACAGGAACTCACTAAGTTGGCTTAGTCTAGTCTTGAACCCACTCTGTAGCCCAGGCTGACTTTGAATTTTTGACCCTCTTGCCTTAGCCTCCTGTGTAGTGGTGATTACAGGCCTGTACCACCAGGTACAGCTTTCCTTGGCTGTTTTGAGTTCTAGAAATAAAGTTCAGGTGTAGGGTCCCATGGCTATCAGGAGGTCCTTTGCCTCCTCAGCAGCACCTGGTAACACTGAGCAGCTTTGGTTCAGTAGACTGTGTGTGTCCTCAGCCCTCCCAGGATTCATTTCTGTGCTTGGACTGTCTTGAAGGGAGTCTAGAGGTCGGGTGGACGAGGAGGACGGAGGTGGAATTTCAGTGTCCCAATGTGACAGTTTTACCTCTTCCTCTTCCCTACAGTGTTTGAACTGGTCAACCAAGGGTGAGTATTGTCTCCCAGGGGCAATGCCCCAGTTCACCTGAAAGCTGAATGAGGAGAGCTGGGCTCTGAGGGGGAGAGTGGGCCAGGGCTAGCTGGATCTGCTTTACACCGTTGACACACATGTCAACCTTTTAGGCCTGTGATGGAAGTACCCACCCTAAAGCCACTTTCTGAAGACCAGGCCCGATTCTACTTCCAGGATCTGATCAAAGGCATTGAGTACTGTAAGCCATGCCCTTGGGGGAGGTGTTCACCTCTGGGACAGTTAGCATCTCAGGTAGTGGTGGGAAATGGAAACTATTTCATCTCGCTGCTGGGCAACTGTTTATAGGCTATGACAGGTGGTTCAAAATCGCTGTAGATGGTTGGTGTTTTGAGTATGGTATAATCATCCTTAAACACACTTTCCCCTTATCTCTCAGAGCATGTTTGGGGAGGGGATCTGGAGCTTGGGAGATGAGGCATCAGGGGCATGCTGGGATGAGTGGCCAAGTGGGGATTCTCACGGGGTTTTTCTGCCCCCTGTCTTCCGTTGGTGCCCTCTACATCTAGTACACTACCAGAAGATCATCCACCGGGACATCAAACCATCCAACCTCCTGGTGGGAGAAGATGGGCATATCAAGATAGCCGACTTCGGTGTGAGCAATGAGTTCAAGGGCAGCGATGCCTTGCTCTCTAACACTGTGGGCACACCTGCCTTCATGGCACCTGAGTCACTCTCAGAGACCCGCAAGATCTTCTCTGGGAAGGTAGGTGTGGATCTGCTGAGTTCTGTCTGTATCAGAGTCCTTTGGTTCAAAGTAGCAAAAATCCAATACAAAAGATGTACTGAGTCCATCAGGCATGTACTGATGAATGATACAGGAACTCAAACAAGGGTCGGTGTCTCCCAGACTGGTTTCCCTGCAGGTTGGTCAGGGACCAGGACTTCCAGGCTGCTTTCCATTAGGGAGTCAACTTCAGTAGCTGGACTTTCCTCTCTGAATGGCAACTGCAGAGGACCTGGGACCAGCCTCTGTGACTGGAGGCGTTGTGGTTCCAGTGGTTGTGCCAGTGTGTTATGTCCCAACCAAGGAGGCTAGGAGACAGGGTTTGCTTCAGCCCAAGCGTGTGGATTAAGAAAAGGTGGTTTAGCCCTTATTCCTAGCACTGTAGAGGCACAGGTAGGTAGATCTCTGTGCGTTCAAGGCCAGCCTGCAAAACAAGTTCTAGCATAACCAGAGGGGTTATTCAGAGAAATTCTGTCTTGAAAAATGAACAAACAAACAAAAGAAGAAGTAATAGTAGTAGTAGTGGTTCCCCAAGGAGGTTGGAGATTTAGTTGTTGGACCTGCAAACATAGATGATGTGCATCACACTAACCTCTCTTTTTCTTGCAGGCCTTGGATGTTTGGGCCATGGGTGTGACACTGTACTGCTTTGTCTTTGGCCAGGTAAGAGGATGGCATGTCCTATTTTATGACTGCTGTGGATGACTGGGTCCTTTGCTAAGGAGACAGTTCCTATTTGCAAATTGTACCTCTATAGCTGAATGAATAGCTAAAAAAGACTCTTTGTAATAGCCATACCTCTGATGACATTCTCATCTGCATAAAAAGTGTTTGAATGAAACAGAAAGATCAACAGAGACAGTGTGGAGATTCTAGATAGTTGATGGGTTTAGGGCAAGGACAACTAATACTCCACCTCTGTGTATTCCTGAGCCTGAGGCAGACATCACTAGTCAATCACTGCATTCTTTGCAGCTTTACTTAGTACTGGCTTGGCGATCTTTTCATCAGTGTTTATAGCCACTATTGCTGGATGGAATGGGAATCATAGTTCACAGGGCACTATTGATTTAGGGAGTGGTGTTTAAGTTCTTGCTGTGGTTCTTTTTTCTACTGTCTCAACGTTATTCATGTTCACAGGCACCTCTGCTTTTCTTGTGGCTTTTTTTTCTGAGACAGTTTCTCTGTATAGCTCCAACTGTCCTGGAAATCACTCTATAGATCAGGCTGACCTCAAACTCAGAGATCCCCCTGCCTCTGTCTCCTGGGTGCTGGGACTAAAGGAGTGTGCCACCACACCTGGCAAGCCAGCTCTTTTACTATAAAGTCTGGTTTGAGTGATAAAAGCATGGCTCCTTCCTGTTTGGAGCTTGTGCTCCTGTGGAGGAGATTTTAAGGATCTTGTTTCAAAACCAGGTGCAGACGGAGGCAGGTGATTTCTGAGTTCGAGGCCAGCCTGCTCTACAGAGTGAGTTCTGGGACAGCCAGGGCTGCACACACAAAAAAGCCCAGTCTCAAAAAACAAAGTCAAAAACAAAAAAGAAAGGAGGAAGAGGAGGAGGAAGAAGAAGAAGAATGTAGAAGCAAAGGAATTTTTGTTACTTTTAAAAAACTATTTCCTCTGAGTATATTTTAAGAAATTTTTTCTTGGAGCTAGTAAGATGGCCTATCAGTTAAGAGCACTGTCTGCTCCTGCAGAGGACGGAGGCTCAGTTCCCAGCTCCCCCATGACTGCTCACAATGAGCTGAAACTCCAGTTCCAAGGAATCTTACTCCTTCTTCTGGTCTTCAAGGGCACTGCGTCCAGGTGGTACATTCTCATGTCTGACATGAACAATTTTCACTCGACATAAAGTTGAGAGAATTCTATGGTGGAAACTCACAACCCTGCCACCTGGAATCTACCATTACGTTATCGTATCCATATATCTGTTTACCATCATGACTGCCCCCTTCAGCTGGCAATCCAACCCAAGGCCTTGTACATACAAAGCACCATTTGTACCCTGAGCTACACCCCCAGTTCAGTTCTTACGTTTCACAACCCCTGAGAAGAGAGAGCCAATTTCAGTTTTCATTAGTTCAGCAGATCTTTACTGTGCCAAGGACATTCTGAGAAAGAGCCAGCAGTCAGGAAGCTCTGAGGCCCCAGGGGAAAGGAGTTACCAGCAAATGACTGTAGTGACAGGGTTAGGTGCTCAGTTGGGGGCTGGTATGGTTGGCAAGAACGGGGTAGGTCTGCTGCAGGGAAGCCCAGGGAGGCCGCTCAGGTGGCTGTGGTCAGGGAGAACAAGCCATGCGGTTGACGATGGGGCGTTATCTCCAGGTGGAGGGCACCATGGATTGGATGTCTAGTCACAGTCTCCTGTGGGACCTGTGAGCCCAGGCTAAACTCTCATAATCATACACACACGCACGCATACCTGTATCAGTCTTAGCTTCTTTATTGCTCTCTGGGTAGGTGTGTGGGGAAGTGTTTGCTTTTGTGTCAGTAACTGAAGCTCAGCAAAAAAGCAGGCCAGTGGTGCATTTGGTGAGGGCTGGAGACCAGCGAGACGTTCCTGATCCTTCACGGGTTTGGGAACGGAGTGAAGGGCAATGGTTCCTGCTTCCTCTCTAGCCTGGGCCACTGCTGTTCACTTCTCTGCTGTGGTCCCTGAGGACCAGCACAGATGGCCTCTGAAGGATACAGGTGGAAGCCACTGACCACCATCCTTCCTGGCCTCTCTGCAGTGCCCTTTCATGGATGAGCGAATCATGTGTTTGCACAGTAAGATCAAGAGCCAGGCCCTGGAGTTTCCAGACCAGTGAGTAGAGCCTGTCTGTCCATCCTCACCTCCTTCTGATTCCTTAGCAGTCAGTGTCCTGAGTTTTCTGTGACCTACCCATGATGTGTCTCCATTCCCCAGGCCTGATATAGCCGAAGACTTGAAAGATCTGATCACCCGAATGCTGGACAAAAACCCAGAGTCCAGGATTGTGGTGCCCGAAATCAAGGTACTTGATTGCTGCTGGCCAAGAAAGCTAGTACTTGAGGCCTGTGGCCTGTGCTTGGAAATGTTTGGCTCAGCCGTGTCCACAGCACCGTACCCTCCTGGCATTGCTGCCTTCCCATGTCCTGGAGCCTCTGGGCTGCTGGGTGCTGGCGGGAGCAGGGAGGAGTGTTGATGCTTGTGCCTGCTGTGGGAGCTGTGACTGACCAGCTGGGCTGCCTGCGCTTCTCCCGTTAGCTTGTGATGGTGGTGTCCACCCTCAGAGAGTGATCTGTGGCCTCCGTGACTCCATGTTCCGGCTGCTGAACCTTAAGTCCTTCCTTTGGCCCCACCAAAGATGGGCCAGTCCCTTCGAGGGACTGCAGAGAGGGTGGGAGGAAGTTAGTGGGCAGTTCAGCCTCTGCCTGCTGAGTTCTCCCCTGTGGTAGAGGCCTTGTCCACCACTGCTCACTCCCCTGTCAATGCCAAGTACACACATCTGGACCTTAAAAATCAAAGCTCAAGATGGGCTGGGGATGTCACTCGGTTGGTAGGCCGGTTGACTGGTGTTCACGAAGTCCTGGTTCTGTTTGTAGTACCGTATGAATTAGACATGGTCATGCACGCCTGTAATCACAGCATGGGGTGGTGTGGGGTCATCCTCGGCTACATAGTGAGTTAGAGGCCAGCCTGAGGTCCGTGACTCCATGTCTTTAACAAGAAAGAAAGACATCTCAAGATAAGCTCCAGGGCCTCTGAGACACCTGGCTCGCTTGAACTGGAAGGGTGTCTTTAGGAGGGTTCAAAAGTTGAGCCGGTGGTGCACACCTTTAAACCCAGCACTTGGGAGGCAGAGGCAGGTGGATCTCCATGAGTTCAAGCCAGCCTGGTCTACAAAGCAAATTCCAGGACAGCTAGGACTGTACACAGAGAAACTCTGTCTCAAAAAAAAAAAAAAAAAAAAAAAAAAAAAAAGTCACAGATGAGGACTTGGACCCCGAAGAGGGGTCCTGGATTCTCTTCAGAATATGCTCTTCCATCTGGCCCCTCCACAACTCCTTATGTCTTGTTCTATGGGGTGGGAAAATGCACTTGTTCAGCGCACAGCCTCTGTTGTCAGGGAGAGTTGGTGGGGACCAGTGGGCGCTCCTGGGGCAGCTGGGCAAGGCTGATGCCAAATTCTGGTTGTTCCTGCCATAACCAGGGGCCAGCTGAGAATTTCCTCCACACGCCTCACAGCCTGCAGCACCTCCCATCCTCTGTCTCCTCTTGTTCTCCTCTCCCATCTCTCTCACTCTGCCTCCTTGCCTGGATCACTGGCTCTCCTGCATGCCTGACCCAGGCCCTGGCCTCTCCTTCCTGCATGCCCTTCTTGGCACTGCTCACTGGCAGGGCCTTGTGGGAACCAGTGGCGCCTGTCCCTCACCCCTCCTGTCATTCGTTGAAGCTGCACCCTTGGGTCACGAGGCACGGGGCCGAGCCATTGCCATCGGAGGACGAGAACTGCACACTGGTCGAGGTGACTGAAGAGGAGGTCGAGAACTCAGTCAAACACATTCCCAGCCTGGCGACTGTGGTAAGGCCGGAAGGTCCACTGACCAAGAGCAGGAACGGAGAGAGCCCGAGGCAAGGCTAGTGAGGGCAGGGCGGGTTACACGCCCCTTGCCTGGGAAGCAAGCAGTTGTGAGACCTGAGACCCCAGTGGGAGTTACTCCGACTCAGCCTCTCGTTGGGCCAGGTAGCCCAGGGGCTCCCAGAGTTCTAAGGAGATAGGTAGCCCCCTGCAGGCATCATGCTGTTCTTCTAGAATTCCTGCTTTCAAAGCATGTTAGGGGAGAGGAGCTGGGAAGATGAGGACAGCCAGACCAGAGTCAGCAGTGGGCCTGAGCCTCAGCGTCCAAGGCAGGGTTCTCAGCTGATGAGGGACTCGAGAGCTAGCTTGGCTGGCATGTCTCACATCCACCACGTGGGTGTTTCTCAGAGCCAGGGGCTCCTACGCACACTGCAGAGAGTTCTTCCCGATCTTGGGTCACAGGGTTTCACTGGGGAAACACTGGGCTCCTTTTTGTGGCCTTGAATCTGGGTCGTGGCTCAGGGAGAAGGAAGCTGAAGGAGTCGTCTTCAAGCCTCAACTTGGAGACTGTAAGAACCACCCATTGCCAGCTGTCTAGGAGGGTGTCTGACTCCAGGAGGGAGATGGGAGGCCCAGGGGCACAGTTTCTGAGCATCCACAGACTTCTCAGGAGCCCAGGTTATATTTGGCCAGCCCCAGCCCAGCCCAGCCTAGCCCCAGCAGACAATCAGGGCCTGGTCTCTACGAAGCCGGCACCAGCCTCAAGAGTCTCTTCGGGAGTCTGGGAATTGGCCCCTGCTCTTTTTGCTTGCCTGTTCTCTCTTGCTTACTCCACGCTGTTACTTGTCTCCTTCAGAACCTGAGTGCCAGGGCTGGCACTCATTCATGTTTCTTCTTCTCCCAGCTGGGGCTCTGCATGACCTCTGCTCTCCCAGACTCAGCCACACCCACTCACCTTTCCTAGTCCACTCTTCACCCACTCACCCCGTTCTCTGCCTGTGTGGGAGAGGAAGCTGGGTCTGACCTTGGGCCGCTGTGAGTGGTTCTGTTCCCCTTGAACACTCTTGCGGGAAAGCATCTGGCCTGGGTGTCTGGAATAGGTATTTGTCATTGGAGAAATGTTTCTTGAACCAATTGGTTTCTCAGGGAAGGAAACAGCCATGAGCACAGCCCACATGTTCTTTGCCTTCACTGGGAGGCAGATGGTCATGCCAAGGAGTACATGTCTGGTGTAATAGAGAGGCTGAAGGGCATGTATCTGATGGAGGGACACAGGCCCAATGGTGGGTCAAAGGGGGCTTCCCTTAATGTTTAAAGGGTCTGGAGATGACCCAGTGATTAAGAGCAACTGCCAAGAGGGAGCAGAGGGGTAGACAGTTGAGTGAGAAGAACAGTACAGGCAATATCAAACAAGAAACTTGCAGAGGGGCTGGAGAGATGGCTCAGCAGTTAAGAGCACCGGCTGCTCTTCCAGAGGACCTGGTTCAAGTCCCAGCACCCACGTGGTAGCTCACAGCTGTCATAACTCCAGTTCCAGCAGATCCAGAACCTGCAGGCAAAACACCAGTGTGCATAAAATAAGAATAAATAAATTAAAAAAAAAAAGATGGACCTGGAGAGCAACCTTCCCATGGGATGAGGGGCCAGTGCAGGGTGCAGGAGGAGAGGCTGACAGACAGGAAACCCAGGGCATAACACTTACCAGAGCCCAGTGGAACCCTGCATCGGTGTGGCCTTTTGTGTCTGGCTTTCACTAGGGTCACATTTCCAAGACTCACCCCTGCAGTAGCTGTACGGGTGCGTGCTCCATCCCTTTGGTGACTTATACAGATGCGCTGCGACTTTTACATTTTCCAGATGATGGACATTTGAGCATTTCTACCTTTGCCCCTTACATTTGAAGATTTTAAAAAATTCTCTGTATTTGTGTGTGCACACATTGAAGTCAGAAGAGGGAGCTGGAGTAGGAGGCATGCTCTCCATGTTGCACAAGCCCTGCAACCTAAGTTCAGATCCCCAGAACCTGTGTAAATTGTCAGACTAACCTCAGCACCCTTACAAGGAGAGGCGAGGCAGGGCAGGCAGGGGAATCAGCTGAAAATGCCTTGCCAGCTCCCCTGGCATGCTCAGCAGTGAACAGCTAGAGAGAGACCCTCGCTCAAACAAGGTGGAAGGCGAGACCGAACCGCAGGGGTGGTCCTCTACCTCCGCACATGTGCACCCCCACACACCGCAAATGAAAGGTCTGAAAACGATTTTAGGGGCTGGAAAGATGGCTCAGCCATCCACACCCACGTGGCGGCTCTCAGCTCTCAGTAGCTCCAGTCCCAGGGGATCCACTGCCCTTGTCTGGTCTCTGCAGGCAAAACATCTGTACATGTATTTAAAAAAAGACAGACTTGCTCTTGCAGAGGGCCCCAGCGCCCATGGGGCAGCTCACATCTGTCCATGACTTCATTTCCATGGGAACCGGCGCCCTCCTCTCACTTCCAGGCATGAACACTGTGCACATACATCTGCAGGTGCAGTTTCTCTGTGTCTTGGCAGCAGCTCCCAAATAACCACTCAAGAGACTTATTTATTATTAATTACAAATGCTTGGCCAATAGCTCAGGCTATTACTAGCTAACTCTTATATTTAAATTAACGCATATTCTTTATCTATCCTCTGCTACGTGGTGGTACTTTTACTTATTTATTTTTTGGTTTTCTGAGACGGCTTCTCTACGTAGCTTTAGAAGAGCCTATCCTGGAACTGGCTCTGTAGTCCAGGCTGGGCTCAGACTCACGAGATCCACCTGCCTTTGCCTCCTGTGTGCTGGGATTACAGGTGGTGCCTTCTTTCAACGTGGCTCATTCATCTCACTTCTCTCTGCATCTGCTCTCGGTTCCCAAGACTCTACCCTTCTCCCATCTTCTCTGCCCTGAAGATCCTGCCTAGCTATCAGCCAATCAGCTTTTTATTAACAATGAGAGCAACACATTTTCACAGTGTACAGGAGGATTATTCCATAACATTTCCCCTTTTTGTCTAATTAAAAAGGTTTTAATTTTAACATAGTAAAACTATATATAACAAAAACGGTTATCTAATAAGAATTACAGTGACAATAAATATCCCATCCATTTGTATTTGACAAAATTAGAGAGAATATCTATTATCTGTCTTTCTGAGTCTAAAGTTTTATACCTACTTTACTTTTTATCATAACTAAGGAAAAATGTAAGTTTAATTATTTACTCTAACTCCATTAAAAAACCCCAGAAGGGACATCTGGCTACCTGGACAAGTCACCCAGTTCTTTTGTAACGTTGGGGCAGCCAACCTTGGCCTACAGGCCTAGTATAGTGACAGACTTTTCTGAGAGGCAGGGAGTTTTGAAGGACTGTTTTACCTTGTCTTGGCAAAGTTTGGCAGTCACTTTTTTGTGTGTCCTGCTGGTCCAGTTTGTACAGTATACTGTTAGCAATTGAGGCAAAGGCAGTTTCTTTGCCCAAATGGCTAGCTTTGCCATTAAGAAAACAAACTCCATACAGAGTTTCTTTGATGCCCATTATATTCTCTGAAGTAGATTGGTGATGCCAGGAGCGGACATGAGTTTTCACTGTCATGAAAAGCCTTAGGTTATTAAACATTTTAAGTACTACATTCTGTAGGTCTTTGAAATGTTTGAAGACCATCTATCTAAATATATCTCTGTATGACCTTGAAAAACTACCTAACATGACTATAAGTTTGACTGTTATAGATCACTATTAATCTTTATTTCTTTTAAATGAGCTTAATTAGCATAATACCTTAAACAAGAGTAGAAACATACATATAGTATAACAAAATCTGCTTTAAATTTGTATCAGTAAACCAAAATTCATACAAATGTAAAATATTTTGAGATTAATATCTGCTTTTGGATTAAAGTAGATTCAATAATCTACCCTTTTATTTCATCATTTCTGTTAGCATATACCTTTTTTTCTTTTAGAAAAAGATTTTTGAATTTGACTCTTGCTTAGCTTTTTTTTTTTTTTTTTTTTTTTTTTTTTTTGACCAGTAACACACATACATGCAGGTAAAGTATTCATACACATAAAATAAAAAAAAAATTTAGAAACAATTAGATACAAAAGGCTAGCGAACAGTATGGCTCTACTTACAGGAAATGCCCAGAGTAGGTAAATCTATATGGACAGGAAGATTGGTGCCTGCTAAGGGCTGTGGTGGTTGGGGGCACGGGGAATGACTACTGACATATACAGGGTTACTCTTTAGGGTAATATAAATCTGAAACTGGATCAAGGTGACGTGAATATACCCAAAACCATTCGGTTGTATACAGTTGTTTCCACATCTGTAAACTCAACCAACCACCAATGGAAAATACACAAAAAAAAAGAAAACTGGGTAAACCTGACCAGTTGTTACTCCCTAACTGATTAGGTCCAGCTATTGACGAAGTTAGCTTGGGGTGGTTTAAAGTACACTGGGGAATGTGCAGACGTTATTTACAAATTCTGAACTTCCTGTAAGAGGCTTGAGCACCTGTAGGTTTTGGTATGTTTGGAGGTTCTGGACTCTTAATATGTTGAGTTTATCTTGTGTGAATTCAGCGTCAATTCTGAAAACATCATCTCTTCCCCAAGAATTATGATATAAATAGCTTGTTTCTTGTTGGAATGGAGCTGGGTGGTATCAGGTAACCCAGCAATGGCTCAGGGAACACATAGCCAGCTCTCTGGGAACACAGGGTCTTACTTAGGGCTGGATAGGCTGGAACTGGATCATGATAAGCCATGTCTGAGCCTGCAGCCAGGGGAGTGGTCTGCAGGAAGCTAGCTGCCCCCAGGCTCAGGATGGCTCTGGCTGGTGGCTCCTGGGTAGGAAGAGCCTGCAAGAGTCATGAGCCTTGGGAGCTGGCAGCAACCAGAGAGAAGAGGGTGGCCCAGCCATCACTGCCCTCTTCCTTCTCCCTCAGATCCTAGTGAAGACCATGATTCGGAAGCGCTCTTTTGGGAACCCATTTGAAGGCAGCCGGCGGGAGGAACGTTCCTTGTCAGCACCCGGAAACCTGCTCACGTAAGTGACCCTTCCTCTCTTCCAGTCCTGGGGCTGGGAGACTAAAGCTAGGCTTGGGCCATCCCAGGAGAGGCAGCTGGGAACTTCAGCAGGTCCCGGCTTTGCTCTTGTAGCCTCCTCACCCAAGCCAGCACCCATCTGTTGGCAGTGTACCCTGAAGTTCCTTCCACCTTCCTCTGAGGACCTACTCTTTCAGTGGGGGATTCTGGGTTGTAGCAATCTGTGGCCCCAGAAGCATGAGCGTTTTAGGGGCATTATGATGAATGAGTCATGTGGCCTCACTCTGGAACTCTCTGTGTGAACACAGGTCCATTCATCTGCTCAAAAAGACGACCCTGTTTCAGTCTCTGTGTGGCAGATGCAGGGGTCCACTGACTCCGGGGTATGTGGAGGGGCATCCCCAGGGTCCTTTCTCACTTCCCTTTTCCCTTCCTCTGGCAATTCCAGCAAAAAGCCAACCAGGGAATGGGAGCCCTTGTCTGAGCCCAAGGTAATGCCTGTCTGCCTGCCTGTGCCATCGCCTCCCCTCTGCTGGGACCTGGGGGCGGGCATCTGCATAACACGCGGGTGTCTCCGCCAGGCAGATGTGCCTTCAGCCTAAGCTGCTGTGCCTGGCTCACCGAGGGCCTCTGGGTTTACGACCAGGGGCATCCAGGAGCTTGGGTCCCATGGTGTGTCATGCATGTGGGCTGGGCTGCGGTGCATGGCGCTCCACCCGGAATGCCTGTTAACTCACCCAGGTCTTCAGGCCCAGTCAGATAGCTGCATACCCATGCACGTCAATGGCACTGAAGGTCTGTTGTGGCCCTGGGGCTGCGCTCTAAGTGTGCACACAGAGCACAGATCAGGCCTGCTGCACTCTGTTTGTCTTTACTAGGGCTCTCTCTACAGCTCTGGTGGGTTAAAACCTAGAACTAAGTCCTATTCTGTCTGTTGACCATAGCAGGAGCTGGGCTTTCTCCTCTCTGCCTGCATATCAAAGCCAGGGTTACCTACAGACTTCCAGGGCAGATGAACACATGTCCCTGTAAAGTTGTGTTGACCTGTTTGGTAACTCTGCTCCCCCCGAGGGCCTGTGTCAGGCTGATATCTCAGTGTCCTTCTCACTGACCCTGATGGGGCTGCCTGACTCTATTGGGAGCTCCTGTCAGCTACTTCTTTGTTAAAAATGGCTTTATTGGGTCCAGGGTGACCATTTAGTTGTTAAAGGTGTTTTCCACCCAAGTCTGAGGGCTAAGTTCAATCCCCCAGAACCTCTGTAAAATACCAGGTGAGGTAGTGTGAGTTTCCTGAGGAGGTGGTGACAGGCAGATGCCTAGACTCATTGTTTAATCAGCTTAGCTTAAAAAAAAAAAAAAAAAAAAAAAAAAAAATGAAGTTGATGGTACCTGAAGTTGACCTCTGGCTTCCATCCATATGTGAACACAGTAGCTTTATCGAAAGCTCGGGCTGGAGCTCTTGGGTTGTGCCTGCCTAGCATGCACATTAATTAACCCCTCATAGTTCGTCACTGTAAAGTGTAGTCACTTCTGCAGGCATCGGAACAATGTCAGCCCAGGAAGGAACCTTCCTCCTCTGAGCTATCTCCACTCACGTCGCTCAGTTTCCGGCATCCACTGATCCTGGAAATCTGTAGATTTGTCTATTCTGGAGGACTTTGGTAAACAGGATAGTATAGTGTGTGGCCTTCCATGTCTGGCTTCTTTCAGCAACACGTTTTCAAGGCTCATCATGCACGGGACAGCATGTATCAGCGCTTCGTCCCTTTCTGTACCTGGGAAGTGTTTAGGTGGATAGTGATGTTTGGGTCCTTCGGTGGGAGGTGTTTCTCTCTTGGCTGTCACAATGCTGTGAACATTTGTCTGTAAGTGGGGACTATTTTCTCTTACCTGGGAATTGGTTTATATGCGGCTGTTCATTGGCCACATGTGTCCCAGGAACCAGAGGCTCGTGTGATACAAGAGAACACCTGTTGTTTGGGAATGGCAGCTTTTGTGTTTTTTAGAGGACAGCCAAGGAGTTGTGTCCCAGTTAGCAGTGGGGACAGATGGCTGCCTTGTTCCCAGATGACCTGTAGCCCCATCTTTTTGTTGTGAAAAATGTAAGCCTTTGGTGGGCCTTCTCTTTTCTCTGTAGGAAGGCCTACCTAAACCAAGGCTGCCTCCTGGCTCTGAGCAAAGTCTGTTCTTTGTTTCTTGTTTGTTTGTTTTCTGTGAGATCAAAATGGCAAGATACCAGCAGACTAGGTCGCCACAGTGCAGCACTCACTCTCCTCTATTCTCAAGTCACGGACACAGCACAGGGCTGCCTGCCAGGGCTGGGAATTTGCAGGGCTGAGGCCTGTCTGCATCGAGAGTGCCTGCACCAGTCTGCAGGTTTGAGGGCAGGCATCTTTCCCAGGAACCTCACCTCTGAACATAAAAACAAAAGAGCAGATAGTGTAATCCCCAAACATAGTTGTTTCTTTCCTTGGGACACCACAGCTTACCTTCCCTAAGTAGGAACAGAGGCCCCTGTTTGGGTAGTGCGCAGAATCATTGTTGAGAGTTGGACAGTAGCCCTGAGTGGCAAGGCCAGTGGCTCTTCCTACAAAGGAGACTCTGTTTGAAAGAAGCCTGGGGCTGGGTCCCCTCCTTAGAGCTCCCCTTCTGTCAGCTGACGCTCCACCATGGCTGGCACACCAGGCAGGCCTAGTGGGGTATGAGGAGGGAGCGGGTGGTGAGAATGGGCTGGGTATGACAGGCTTTTCCTGAAGGTTCCATGTGCCAGGCCAGTTCATACAGGCCCTGCCACTATCCCAGGGGCTCACTGTGGAATGACTGAGGAAAAGTGTCACAGTATCTGCCCTGTACACCCTTCTAGCCTAGAGGGTAAAGATGATAGACTCTAGGGAGCACACCCCCTGTAGGACCCTGTGAGGGTTTGGGGTGTTCCATAAGTTTGGTACCTGTTTTATAGTTCCTTGCTCTTTGGAGTATATCTTACTCCTCCATTTACAGGGAGGCAAAGTTGGCTTTGAAATCAAGTGAGGGACTGGAGAGATGGCTCAGTGGTAAAGAGCACTGTCTGCTTTCCCAGAGGACCCTGGTTCAAATCCCAGCACCCACATGGCAGCTTATAACTGTCTGGTTCCAGTTCCCGGAGACCTGACACCCATGGCAAAACGCCAAAGCACATAACACGAAAAGAAGTAAATAAAGAAAAAAGTCTCTATGTGAACCAGTAGAAGTGGGAACACATCCGAAAGAGCAGATGTGACACACGGGGACAGAGGCATGCAAAGGTGGGAGACTGGCCAGGGCTCCGCCATCATTTCTCCAAGCCTTAACGCTGATTTTCTGTTCGGTGAGCAGGAAACAAGGCAGCGAAGACAGCCTCCGGGGCCCCGAGCCAGCCCCTGTGGGGGAGGAGGAAGTGCTCTTGTGAAAGGCGGTCCCTGCGTGCAAAGTTGGGGAGCTCCGGCCCCCGGCTCCCCACCACGCATGCCTCCACCACAGCCTGAGGAGGCAATGGAACCGGAGTAACTGCCTGGACCACCCGACCTCGCATGCCTGGCTGTATGGCCCTGCACGGGGCTGCTGCACCCTGCCCTGCGTTTCCATAGCAGCATGTCCTACGGAAACCAAGCACGTGTGTAGAGCCTTGACGGTCATCTCTGGTTATCTGCGGTTTTGGTGTGTGTGTATGTGGTTTTTCTTTTTTCTTTTCGTTTGTTGTCTAAGGGGACAAAGGAAAAAAAAAAAAAAAAAGGACTTGACTCCATGACGTCGACTTTGGCTGCTGGCTGGCCGGACCGGCGGGTGTGAGGAGTTGCAAACCAAGACCAACATGCATTTTGGGACAATTGCTTTTTAAAACATTTTTATGCCAAAAAACAACAAAACAAAACACCATCATTCTGAATTCAGAACCATGTCAGATGTACCAAGTGAATGTGTGTGGGACTTCAGCAGTGTGGAGAATCAAGTCGGGAAATTCCTGCTGGCTGGAGCTACACTTGAGAGGGAGTGGCAAGTTCAGTATGACCCATATAAACCTGAAGCTGGGACACCTTCCAGAATCACGGAAGAACAGGGCTAGCCCTCAGTGGTTGCAGGGAACTTGGAAGTAATTTATTTGTAATGAGGACTTTTTTAATGTTTTGTTTTGTTTTTTTCCCCAGTGGATAAAATTTTGGTCAGGAAAACTTAAAAGGGCTTGCAGTTGAAATGCTTGAGGGGCATTTCGCCACTGGGAAAGACATTCAACAGTTGTGGTGGCAAAGGCTTGTCTGGAGAAAGGAACACGTTTCTTCATGTTAACTGGGGCTGCCATCAGCTAAGCTAATTCTCTTTGTAAATTGGCAAAAACTTCAGGGTGAGAGCCTCCACTTTCACATACATTACATGGCTGAAGACTGGGCAGATGTCCCTGAGTCCCTAACTAGCCTGGACTCTGGGGAAACTGAGAAGTTACATATTGAAGCTTCCATCACACCATTGTGTGTGCGTGTGCGGTGGGGACTGAGCTGATGAAACCTGTGCCTGTATAGTAGCAGCTTTTGCTTGTCTCTAACCTGTGCACTCTACAGACTGTAAGGCTTCTTCCTCCTGAGTGCTGACTGGTTGATAAGCCAATGAAACGTCACTGTCCCGAGGGCCACTTTCCTGTGGGCTGTAAGGTACTGCCACTCGGTTTAGGCACGGATGGCTCTCCTTAGGATCAAGGCTTTATCGTGATCCACACAGTGACATCAGGGTGTCATTGTAGAGAAAAGTGACATTCCTCAGGGCAAAGGACCTTTTTATTTTTATTTCATTTTATTTTATTTTTTGTTGCTAGGGGCCTAGAGAGCAAATGTGGACCTTTTTGACTTCCAGCCAATATTGGAAGTTTAGTAGAGGTTTAGGTGTGAGTGTCCAAGGCCACAGAGGAAAACATGACATTTAAGGGGGCTTCCAGACTCCATTTCCAGTGCTTTGGAGTGATCTGTAATGACTGTCTTGTCAGTATTGGGGCTCAGAAGACTGCTTCCTGCTAGTCTCTGTCTGGTGAGCCTCCGTGCAGGGTCTTCCTTACAGAGGTGGCAGTCAGGCTGTTCCCCTCTGCCTGGTCACATGCAGAGTCTAGGCATCCCTGGCTTCCATAGGCTGTTAAGCGCTTGACTGTAGTTTTGCCAGACTTCTCTTGCTGTCACATAAGCTAATTAGAATTAGGGCATAGACCCAGCATGTGCGAGAGGGGGCCTCTCGCCTGCTTATGTCGTTTTCCCACTTTTAGATTTGAGGAGCAAGAACCAGTAGCTCTAGCCCTTGTGGCCACAGATGTGGTCCTGAGGCTCAGTCCCAGTCGGTCGGCCCGGACCCTGGCATGACCGAGAGGCCCGCCCAAGGAGGGCAGGCATTGTGCAGAGCTCTGCAGAACTCTTCTTGTGTTTACACAGCCCTACCGGGCAATGCCCTTTCTCCCTACCCTAGAACTTTCCATCCAAGATGTCTGAAGTGGATTGCCAGTGATCAGGCAGCACCTGGGGTTGAGAGGTCCACGTGGGCAACTTTTTTCTTAAACAACGAAACACCAAAGAAAGCTGCGGAAAGGAGCGACCCCCTCTCCCATCCTGCCGTGGAAAGTGTAAGAGGTCCCGCCATGACTAGAGCATTAGAGCACAACACTGTTTCCAAAAGCGTTGCCAGCCAGGCTGCCTCTGCAGCTCTTCTGTGTGGGCAGATGGGATGCCCATAGTTCCTTCCATGCTGGTTCACCCAGGATTAATGGGTAGGCGAACTTGGCCCATACCTACAGCCTTGAAGAAAGCACAAGCCCCCCCATCTTCTGACTCCCCCATACATCCCACAGACTACCCGTGACCCCCAGACACCTTACAGAGCCCCTTGTTGTAACTTGGGGCTTCAGAGGTCACCTCTCTACTGGTCTGGCCTTTCCATGGGACAGAGCTCTTATCCCCAGACCTTCCTAGAATCAGGGGAAATGTCGTTACAAGTTGAGACACTGGGTTAGGCCCTTGGCCCTCGCCCTTCTTCCCGAGGGGAGGGCGTACTTTACATTACCAATGCAGAACCAGAGCCTCCATTTGCTCCCAAGGTGCTAGGGGAGAGTGCTGGTTCCCTCTTCTCCAGCCTCATGGGCCCAGCTTCGTGGGACTTTGGACTTTTCTATTTGGTGACCGATGCCCTCTGCTTCTGTTTTATTGTCCCTGATCCTCTCTACTATGCATTTTCCTTTTATCAGGTGTACAGAGTTAAATACTGTGTATTTATCACTTACAAGTACATGAACTGAAAAGATAAGCTTGCGGTTGTTTTCCCACAGGTGATTAAGCTTCTCTGTAAACTTGAAATAAACAGACAGCAAAATGGTGCAAAGCCCAGGCCTCCTGGGGGTTTTCTGTTGGTAGCTGTCCTTTTGTTATGTGTCTAATGATGTTGGTAGTCCTTCCCTTAGGCTGACAGCAAGTCAGATGCCCAGTGACAGTAAATGCAGCTGGCAGATCCCCTGATTAGGCATGTCCCAGGGTGTCACAATTCAGCATTATTCTGAGACTAGCCGTGTGCACAGTTCTTAGAAGCAGAGCCGAATTCATATTCCTGGGTCCCATGTAAACTGCTCCCAGGTGAGCCACCCGCAGGTTGAAGTATGAAGGTAAGGGTAGGATTCTGGGAAGTTGGACAGGTGAGTAGCTGGGAGTAGTTTTCATCCTGTGGCTGGCTGGACATTGTTTTCCTGGCTTTGAACTTCACTTTGAAAAAAGTTCCATCCCATGCTACAGAAATATGGGCTATTGTCATGTGTGGCACACATGCCTGTAATACCCACACTTGGGTGGCTGAGAAAGGAAGATTCAAAGTTCAAGGCCAATCTGGGCTGCATAGTGAGGGTCTATCTAAAAGTGAGGAATAGAGGCTCTTGAGTCAAGAGGAAGTTCTTGTCCAAAAAACACCACTGAGAACATGAGACTTGCTTCGGGGAGTCCTGGAAGCCCACGCATGCATGTGAGGTTGAAGGATCCTGTTACCAGCTCCCACTGAAGAGGTAGCGACAGTGTGTGCCAGTGGATAGAGACACAGCTGGATGCCAGATGACCCAGGTGAGTGGAATAAACTGTCCCAAACATCCACCCTCCAACCCTACCCTGAGAAGCTGCCGTCCCCTTTGTCATCGCTCTGTAGCCTTTGTGATAGTGCACAAAGCATTTGTTTTAGTCTCAGGGTATTGCTGGAGCAGCGTGACCAAAGTTTCCTCATTTGCAAATAGAAATTCCCCAGATTTCTGGAGGCAGGGAACCCCACGATCACCTTTGCAGGAGATTCTGGGTCTAGTGAGGGCTGCTGTCTGCTTCCCAGATGATGTTCAGAACATGGAAGGACCACAACCATTTGAGTCCCTCTGTCCAGCCTTTTGATAAGGTACTTAGTCCCACTCATGAAGGAAGAGTGTACCATGAGTCTCTGTCTCCTCATCCTGTCACAATAGAGACCCAGCTTCTAAAATGTGAATTTGAGGGACATACTCTAACCACGTTAGCATCCCTAACCCTTCCAGGCCCATATGATCTGTGTTTAAGAAGCACCTAAGAAATCATTATTACATGTGTCTGTGTGTGCATGTCATATCCCCTAGAGCCAGAGTTACCAGTCATTCGTGACCCTCCTGATGTGGGTGCTGGAAACTGAACTCAGGTCCTGCAAGAGCAGCAAAGGCTCTTAACCACCCAGCCAGCCATCTCCAGCCCTGATGTGAGCACTTAAGAAAGCCACACAAGCCAGAGTTTTGTTAAAACCATTCCACACACCTACCCAAAGCAGAAACCCAGGTTGGCCGTTAATCCAGAAGAAACAGAACATTCCTAACCTGTCAGACTCCTGAGTACATGGAAACCGACAATGGCAAAGGGGAGGGGCGAGCTGCTTTTCGCAGCACAGAATTAAGTAAGTGTGAAGATGTGGGAGCTGCAGGGGGACATAGCTCCAGCTCCTGCCTCTTGTAGCAAGACAGGTGCAGGTAGTCATGCTTCGAGGTACAAATCTGAGAAACTAGTGAGGGGGGAGAGGATAAGTCATGTGTGAAATTGTGTTACCTCTGGAACAGTCATTGCATAGGTCACTGTAGAGGGATAATAGCAGTTTTATATGAAAACAGCAGCTATGGAAAACACATCATGTGCAAATTCCATGGGGATACAACCTAATGAGGATCACAGTTCTTAGGCTTGTAGGTTATAATAAGGGGGAAATGCTGGAGTTCCAAAAGGTAGAGCACCTGATGCATGCACAAGACCCAGAGTCTGGTTCCAAGCATCTCAAAAACAAAACTTGCCAGAAGCAAGCGGAGCCCTCTCCTGAGCTGTTGGCCCTCAGAAGAATTTACCCTGAAGGTTGTCACAGTCAGATATTGACCTGGGGCGGGGACGGATGGACAGGATGGGACACGACTACTCTCCAAATGAACGTGTTTATTCACAGGGTGGGACATGGTGCAGAGCAGGGTGAGTGCTCTGTGGGCCAGGGCAGGATAGAGGTAGCGAATGTGGGCCCAGCCAAGAAGGCTGTGTGTGGCCAGGGCTGTTGTAAAGCATAAGTTCTTTGGTTATGGGTTTATCATGGGTGGTGACCAAAGGTTGATTAGGAATTATCTGCTCCTGGAAGTGGCCTTTGCTTCCAGGTTATGCTTAGGTATAATCTTAGTATCGGACAGATACCACATGAGGCCCTCCGCCCCCTTGTTTGGCGGCTCCATTTGGATGTGAACAACTTTAATAACGGAAGGAGAGCTCCAGCTCATGCTACCAGACCGCACAGACAATGTTTTAAAAAGTCATTTCTTTTAATGATTGGTCCTCAGTCATTCCAACATAGCCCTTCTGAAAGGGAAAGCTAACTCTGCCTTTGTTACAAGGAACAAAGTCTCTAGATACAGGGAAGAGGGCCAGTGCCCCAGGCCTGGAGAACTCCCTTCCTTATAAAGTGCTTGGACAGCTGCTGTGCCTGGAAGGACTGGGTCTTCCAAGGGAGCCAGTCTTGGAGGCCCCGGAGAAGGGCGTCCCACAAGCCACAGCACTAGCTCTGTTCTCAGACGGTCCCATTACCTCAGTAAGCTCACTCCACGTAAACAGGTGGCCTGGTCAACACCACACCAGGGGTCCACTGTGTAGTGAGCAAATGAACCCCCACAAAAGGCTAGGTTAAAAGGCTGTAGAGGGTGGAGGAATGTCTTGAATTTGAGGTCAGCCTGAGCTACATATAGTCAAACTCTGTAAAAGGTTTAAAAAGAAAGAAAAGCCAAGACCCCCAAGGAGATGGGTGCTATGGAGTACCCTGAAATCCCAGCACTCCTGGGGACTGCAGCAGGAAGGTCTTGAGTCTGAAGCCCATCTGAGCTACAGAGTAAGACCCAGGCTCAAAAAATGACAAAAACAATACAAGACCGGCTGGGCAACCCTGAGTGTCTGTGGAGTGGAGGAGACAGAGTTAAACTCTGGAACTTTCTCTAGAGTGATGCAGCAGCCATTTCTCCCTTCTCACTGCGTCGACGAGGGCTGTGTGGGGTTGAAGTGTAGGGCCAGGCATCACTGGTTCATCTCACCTGCAAGACCCTGCAAAAGGGGGCACAAGTAACTCCCTAGTGTGTGTTGCCACCATGGGTTACCCAACCACCCAGGGCAGGAGGAGCTTGGTGCTTTTCCTGAGGATTTCTGGAAGGATCTTAACAAGGAAGGATCTGGAGAGGCTTCAGCTTGGTTCTGGAGCGTCTCCCAATATGGTCCAAAACCCTCATTCTGCAAGATGAATGTAAGTACCCACGTGGTTGTTATCACAATCCAGGTGTGACTAATTAAAGTAAAGCTGGGTTAGCTGGGTGGTGGCTCAGGCCTTTAATCCCAGTAATTGGGAGGCAGAGGCAGGTGCATCTCAGTGAGTTTGAGGCCAGCCTGGTCTACAGATCAAGTTCCAGAACATTTAGGCCTACACAGAGAAACCCTGTCTCCAAAAGAAAAAACAACTGGGTTTTAAAGAGGGAGTCCATCTGAAGGAAAAGCTGGAAATAAACGTGACCACAGCTGGTCAGTTGGCAGGTGCCACAGCTGGTCAGTTGGCAGGTGCCAACCTTTGTAGAAGGGCCTGGCTCTGTCCTGCACTGGGACAGGAGAGAAGACAAGGTGCTCAGGCTGCTCGCCTGCTGTGGGCACGGCTGCCTACCTGTTCGTAGTCTTCCACATACTTGTATTTCTTGTCCCGGTAGTAGTATCTTTTCTTCATGCAGTAGAGGACTATGACGTCACATAGCACAGTTGCCTGGTTTAGCACAGAATGAACCAGAATACTTTTAGCTGTTGCTTTGTGTGGACCTCTTCCTTTGAAACCTAGTCTACTGAGGAAAGGCATCTCCATCCCCGTGACTCAGACTGGACCCTGACCAATGAGCCACTGGTCTCAGAGGTGGGATGTCTGGGGCTTCTTTCCCCTCACCCTAGAAGCATCTAGTCTAGAGACAAGTCTGAGGTTTAGGAAAGCACAGTGCTTGCTAAGCTGCTTGATAGTTGAGAAAGGTTCCTTTCAGGAACAATTTGCCACTCACCACCCCCAGTAGTGCCAAGCCAGAGCCAATGTTGATCATGGTAGGGATGATGTCGAACTTTCCAGCCTGCGTAAGATAGAAAGAGAAACAGTGTTCTGATGGGGGACGACAGCAGAAAATAGGGTGGCGAGAAGCTCCCTCTCCCAGTGGGGTTCAAAGGGCCAACCTTTCCAAACACGATGATGTCAAAGCGGATGCCATATGCCTTGATGAGCGTGCGTTGCTCGTTGCCAGTGAGGTCCCTGTAGTACTTGGCAAACCTGGCAGGAGAGAGAAGGCGGGTTAAGGAGTAAGTGCAGATCTTGGGTCTTAGGAGAAAGCTGTAGGGCAGGACCAGAGTCCCTGGACACAGCTAGCCTTGGGTAGTAAGCTGCTCTGTGAGCTTAGCAGACACTAAGCACCCCAGGTCAGCCTCCCAGCTAATGTGAGGAAGGGCAGGGTGGCCAGGACCCCTCCTAGAGAAATAGAGTGACTCTGTCATCGCCATCTCCCACAGGATGGCAGAAGCCTCTTGCTCTGAATGGCCTTCCTGATACAGCCAAGCCACCTGGCACTTTCCAGGGGACCTTCGCTACCAACAGAGAACTTGGCAGCTGCCAGGGATCTTCAAAACTGCATTGAAGGGTGAAGGCCAAGCCTGGGCCTGGGATCTTGGCGTCAGTGCTTCTTCCTGTCCACCGTCTGTCTGTTTGTCTGTTGTTTATGTGGCTGGGCCGAGATACACAATTGTGCTGAAGCACACCCACACAACTCACCTACCGAACTCCAGAATCGAAGCCAGAGGAGCCTGTAATCCCAGAGTTCCAGAAGTTTAAATATACAATTAGCTAATTTGAGAACTGCAGCACCTCCAGAAGAAACCCTGCCTTCATCACGGTTCTATCAGCCTTAGCATTCTGCCAGTATCTGAAGCCTGGGATTTATCTGGTGCACAGCCTCCATGCTGTGGTCCAGGCTTGGGGCTCTCAGGTGAGACTACTGCTGGCAGAAGCCAGGAGCCAGATACCCTGTGTGTCCGTCAACTTCTCAGCTCTAGGAATCCAACTCACAACGGCCTCTATTAGAACCATGCAGTAATAGAGATGGAACAAACGAAATCTGAATCCCAGGGGAGCGGTCAAGTTCCTGCGCTAGACTCAGTAAGCCTTCTTACAGCACACAAATTTGATTCCACAAATTGCCACTAGAGGGACTCAAGGGCAACTTTTTAAAAGAGTTGCCCAGCAAATACCCATGAAATGGACATAGGATTTTGCTGCTTTAAGAAAATGGCAAATGTGTTCCCAGGCCTCTCATCAGATTCCCAGGTGTCCTGGATTGGATAGTATCCCCTTCCCAAACTCATGTCCAGCTAGGGCCTGCAAATGTGTCCTTATTTGGAAATAAGGCTTTGCAGATGTAATTTTAGTTAAAATGAGGTCATACTAGATTAAGGTCCACCCTAGATCTAATGTTCAAGAAGAGGAGGAGAGACTGGGCCAGGCATGGTGGTGCATGCTTTTAACCCAGTGCTCAAAAGGCTAAGGAAACCCTATTTCTGGAGTTCAAGACCTAGTCTACACAGCAAGTTCCTGGTCGGGGTGGGGGGGGGGAGGAGAAGGTGGGTGTGGTGGTACACACCTCTAATCCCAGCACTTGGGGTGATGGCAGGGGGATCATGAGTTCAAGACCATCCTCAGCTACAAAGAGAAAAGATATACAGAGGGAAGAAAGCCCTATGACCACAGAGATGGTAACACATGTACAAGCCAAGGATTGCTGTAGACACCGAACACTTGAAGAGGCAAAGAAGAATCTGGACATAGAGCTGTGGCAGCTCACCCCTGCAGACACCTTGGTTTTAGAGTTCTGGTTTCAGAAGTACTAGAGAATAAAATTCTGTTGTCTCAAACCATTCAGTTTTTGTTACTGGAACCCAGGGAAGCTGATATACGAGCATTTTCAGCAGGCAAATTTGAGCGCAGCCCTTTGTTTTATTTTTATCGAGACAGGGTCTCACAGTGCAGCTTAGTTTCGCCTCAGATTCGTGCCTCTCCTGCTTTAGTCCCCCTGGTTCTGGGATTATGGAGATCTGTAACTATGCCTGGCTTGGGCACAGGCTTCTCTTGAGTCTTTATAACCTCTGCATGCTGGGACAGAAGCAATTACTGAAAAACCAATTTCTGGACCAGATCCCATCGGCCTTGAACAGAGCCCACAAGCTTATCTATTTGTTTCTCACAGTAGTGAGTGGAAAAGATGGCTCTCAGAAGCCTAAGCTGCTGGCTTCTCTACCCTGCAAACCTCAACACATTACAGAAAGATTTTATTTTTATGTGTTTGAGTGTTTTGCCTACATGTAAGTACACCATGTACATGCAGCACCCAAAGAAGCCAGAAGAGGGTGTTGGATGCTTTGTATCGGGACTTATGAACAGTTGTGAGCTGCCATGTAGGTGCTGAAACCAAACCCTGGTCCTCTGTAAGAGCAGTCAGTGCTCTTAACTGACGAGCACTGATAGCATCAAAGAGCAAGGAGAGCTCTTGTGGGCCTGGACATGACAGGCAAGGCCCTGCTGGGAATGTCCTACCAGGTTCCTAGCCTTCCTGCTTGAACATGACAGACACACAGTCTGTCCCTTGGCTGCTGGCCTTTCAGAGGGGGAAGGGTATGAATAACCCTACAGGTATCAACTATCACCACTACCCCAACATGTGAGTGGCAGGGCCCAGGCTCACACACCTGAAATTGTAGCCAGGAGACACATTGTGTTCCAGGTCCCGGGTGTCTAGGCGCCGGAAGGAATATCTGGGCAGGCAGAGGGAGGCAGCCCTGTCAAGGTTGCAGTCCCACTTGACTTGGATGCCCATGATGCCTCCCTGTCGGGAAAGCAAGAGACACACAGCCAGGTTTTCAGGACGCAGGTCCATGCTGGGGTCACCGAGGTTCGTGAAGAGCCATGCTAGCACCTACCTCAACTGCCATATCCTGGAAGCTGTGCCCCGCATCCTCCACGATTTTGCCAAGACGGAATATGGGGCAGAAGGGGTCCGTGTAAGCATCATAAATGCACGACTTGAGGTAGGAAGTGGTGATATTGGGGAGGATATTCCTCCTGAAGTCAGGGAGAAGGCAGAAGGCTGAGCAAGGGGGACCTCAGGAAGAGCCAGCCGTTAAGAGGCTTGTGAACACGCATGCCTAGCCCCTACTTACTTGCTGAAATTAAACTTGGGGTACCAGATGTTGTTCTTTACCAAGAGGGTGAAGTTTTCCGCACCCTTTAAAAAAGCCGGCCTGGAAAAGAATTTCAATGGTTACTAATTGCATGCACACGGCTGTGATAGTTTCTGATAGTTGCAGTGTCCCTCTCAAGGAGAAACGGGAGCCTCTGGCATTTTCTACTCTCTTCTGTGTAACATTAAGTAACCAGGCCTCTGGTCCTTCCACCAAAAAGGCAGGAATTCCGGCCCAAGCCCAGAGCGTGAAGAACCTGAGCATCAGCTGAGGAGGATGCTGGCTACGCCGCCATGATTCCTGAGCCATCCGCTGGCCTCAGGTTTGCCTTTTCGGGTGTTCACCTGCAGGTACATCCTGGCCTCGCAGAAAAGGAAACCATACCATCAGCGGGCTCTGAAGGGTGCCATGTCAGCTTCTGGCTGACAAATGAGGTGAGTCTGCCCACAAGGGAACTCATTTTTGGAGTGGATTTTTCTCAGTGAGAATCCAGAAATGCAGGGCTGACCATTCTGTGGAGGAGGCCTTGCCTGAGGTAGACTTGAGCTTTGAAGTTATAAATGGAGTCACCCACCTCAGCCCTGCCTAAGGCTGTACTTGGGTTTTTTGAGGCAAGGCTTCTCTATATAGCCCTGGCTGTCCTGGAACTCACTATGTAGACAGGCTAGCCTCTAATTCACAGAGATCCACCTGCCTCTGCCTCTTGAGTGCTAGATTAAAGGTGTGTGTCTTGTTTTGTTAAATGAAACATGAAATGTGCTGTGTGTGTGTGTGTGTGTGTGTGTGTGTGTGTGTGTGTGTGTGTGTATGTGTGTTGGGGGTGGTATATGTGTGCATGGTGTTTTAGCCACCGAAATCCAGGTATGATAGTTTATGCTGGTATTCCCTGGTATTCTCTGAAGCAGGAGGCTGAGAGCCCAGGGCAGGACATGGCCTAGTGGGTAAAGGCACTTGCTGCAGTATCTGAGGATTTGAGTTCTATCCCCATGTCCCAAATGGTAGAAGGAGAGAGCTGACCCACAAGTTCTTTTCCAACCTTCACATGTACGTACATAATAGTATGGCATACTTACACATACGAATGTGCAGGCACACAGAATGTAATTAAAAATTAGTTAATAGCAACAACAAAAGAGTTCAAAGCCATCCCTGACCACATAATGAGGTTCTTTCAAAAAAAAAAAAATCAAAACCAAAAACTGTTTTCTGTTGTTTATGAGCAGCTGACACTTCTCCAGCACACCCAAGTCACCTGCACCCTTAGCACAAGTGACAGCTCTGTGGTTGACAGCCACTCCCTCAGGGTGGGATGGCTCCACTCATAGACAAAGAGTGCACAAAAAATCCCAAGCTCACCTCACCCTCTCTGTCACCTCCCTCCAGGCTGAAAAGCAAGGCCAGGGGACCTGGGTAGGACTCACGTTGGCACACCAACGTCATTCTCCACTGGGCACCATGCTGCCACCTCACAAGTCTTCACAGACTCATTGAATGGAACACATCTTCCAGTCCCAATTCCTGTGAAGAGAGAATGGTCTGGGTGGACAATCTTTTACCTGTGTGCAGAACGATATAAGCCCACCCCACCCCCCGCCCCGGGCGGGGATCCTGGGCCTCCAGTCTTTAGTAAATTATGGGATTTATATGGTATCTAGAAAATGGAAGGAAAACAAGAAGGCTGCCTCAGAGTTGGCCACGTAACTGCCAAGGTTAAGTCACAGAGAGGGGCAACGTCTGGGGTGTCCGCCACAACACGGGTGAATGCTGTTACACCAGGTTCCCCTGGCTTCATGTAGCATTGGGGGGGGGTCTTCTCTGATACTGAACTAGAACTGAACCCAGGCCCCTTCAAGCCAAGCAGATTTTTATTTCTACAATTTCTCTATCGCAGATGCACCACAGGAAGTGTGATGTCATCAGAAGCCACTTTCCCCAGGTCCAGCATCTGCTGAGAAGTCCCAGCTGTCCAGTCACTCACTCCTACCATTGCTGTGGGTGCCTGTGGAACCAGTAATGCAGCTGGAGTCTGACTTACAGACAGTGGTCTTATCAGGAATCTGGAAGGAAAGGAATGGAAACAGGGTCCATGTGGTCTAGCCCCCCCCACACACACAGTTTGCCAGGAGCAGATGCGGGTATGAGGCCTGAGGGGATTTCCCTGAGAGCCACCTACTTCTGGACACGTGCTCTGCGTCTGGTTCACAGTGATGATCATGTTGGTCATGATAAAGATGGAGTTTTCCTCCTGTGGAAAGGACAGAACCCTGTTGAGTCACCTTCAGAAGAGCTGAGTGAGGTCTGGAGGAACCCTGATGTGGCTGGAGACATAGCTCAGTGGTTAAGAGCACTGGCTGCTCTTCCAGTAGAGCTGGATTAGATTCCCAGCACCCACGTGGTAGGTAGCTCACAACCATCAGTAGCTCCCGTTCTGGGGGACCTGACCCCCGTTTTTGGACTCCATGGGCATCAGACACAAAAGTGGTGTGCAGACATACATGCAAGGGCAGACACTCATACGATAAAGTTAAAAAATACACACACGCACGCACGCACACACACACACACACACACACACACACGCACGCACACGCACGCACACACACGACCTCATAAAGAAATGACAGACAATGACCCCAGGAGATTCTAGTTAGATGCCCCCTCCCCAACCTCCACTATATGCTTGTAATATTAAAGAGCTTCTAGAAGTTTCTAGCATTTCATACCCCCACCCCCAAAGTAAGCAGAGTAGGTTCTAGAAGCCATTTCAGGTCCCTGCAAGCATCCCCTCCCCAGGTCAGACAAGGTGGTGGACGCTCTGGCAGCAGCCAGAACAAACTGCTCTGCTGGGAGGCAAGCCACAGGAGAAGTGAAGCAGGAGTCTCTCCCGACACGTTGTCACCCTGCCAGCAGTGTAACCGATGACAACCCCTTAACTGGTGCCAACAGGAGTCTTGCTTCTGAGCGCCCCCTGGAGTTAGAGGTGTCCAGTTCATTGTAGCCTTCTTTCTGTTTCCTGTTTCTTAGCCTTTTCATTTAGGGAAACTTCAACCTAGAGACGCATCACATAGATGCGCCTATTCCATCCATGGAGACAGCTCAGGAAGAGAGCCCCAGGGGACCCCCCAGCCACCAATTCAGCTGCTGGCTGGCCCTCCCCATTCAGTTCCAGGAGCAGAGTATTTGCGCTTCCTTGTCTACAGCAGGTACAATGGGTGTGACAGTCCCAGAGCTTGTTAGGCTGGGCTGGAGGCCACCACCCTGCTGAGACTGGTATGTACCAAAAGACCATCCCGTTAAAATTTTTTTTCTTTTTCTTTTTCTTTTTTTTTTTAGACCGGGGTTTCACGGTGTAGCTCTGAATGGCTTGGAACTCACTAACTCACTGTGTAGACTAGGCTGGCCTGACATTGACAGAGATCTGCTTGCCCTTGCCTTTTGAGTGCTAGGATTAAAGGCATGCACCACCATGCCTAGCAGTCCATTTTATTTTTCTGTCTCTTTAGCTCTGGCTTTTCTCCCATCAAACCCTTCCCCTGGGAAGGCCAGGGAAATGAACACTTTTAAAGAGAGTATCTGAAGACCTTGCATTCTCCCTGCTAGCACCAAGTCAAGTGCTCACAGTTTAACTCAGTTGGCCAGCACATCAGCCATCTGGAGGAGACATTGGGCCAGGGTTGGGCCAAGAGGCACATAACTGCAGAGTCAATGTTTAACTCGCAGATTTGGGGCTGGAGATTTGGCTGCACAGCAGAGTGCTAGCCTAGCATGTGTGAACCCCTAGACTCCATCTCCAGTCCTAGGGAAAGAGACCAAAATGTCAACTTGTGCCTGTGTGGATTAACAGACAGTATGTAGGTTAGGACACCCCATGCAGCAATTTCTTCCTTTTTGTTCCTGAAGGAATAGGATGGGTTCCTTTTAGTTGGGATGTGTGGTCTTTAACTGCTGTTTGTTGTTTTTTAATACACCCTCTGACAAGCTTTGCCTTGTGGGTGTAAGACACGAAAGCAAACACAGAATGCGGAAGGTGCTATTTCGAGCCCCACTCTGCCCAGGACTAAAGACCTTTGCTTTCTCAGCCCCTAGAGCTTACAGAGATGAAGGTGTGGGAAAGACAGTGCTGGGTCAGAGCCAGCCACACTCTAGAGCAGTAGGGAGTTCTCTGTTAGAAATGACATCTCAGAGAGCTGGCTGCATTGCTGTCTCCAGCCAAAACCACCTGGGCGCGGAGGTAAGCGGACTCTGGCCACTCGTATGTGTGCGAAAGCGGGAAGAGCTTCTTGTGCACAGACGTCCGTCATACCTGAGCTGGGATCACATAGTCGGCCACGTCCCAGATCCGGAATCCAAGTTCAGAAGTGTTGGTCACAGCCACACCCTTGGCCTTGGTTGTCACCGAGCTGACCACTGAGTCAGTTTCCTGGTAGCCCCTTTCCCACACAAACACCCACCTAAAAAATACAGCAGGTCACGGGGGTCAGTACATTCAAACCGACACCAGCGGAAGTGTGGCATTTACTAATCATGGGACTTGCAAAAGCTGCTCAACTCTACAACACTCCACTAAGTGAAATGGGCATAGTAGCCACATTGATTATTTTCTGAGAAATAAATGACTTGGGTTAGCTAGCATGGTCAACGGCATGCAGGAAAGGCCCGATGGATGCCGTCTTTATTACTGGATGTCGGGGCAGGCTATGGGAGTCACTAATGATAGGTTATTATAACAATAGTTTCCATTTGATTTCCATGTAGTGAGCCGTTTACTCCACTTCATGAGGCCCCCACATCATCATGATTGCCTACAGTTTACAAAGGCAGGAACACAGACAAAGATGGTCAAGTCACTTACCCAAGGCCATACAGCTAATAAGTAGCAGAGTTGGGATTTGAACTCAAGTCAGAAACCTCTGAAGCCTCTCTTGTCTCTAGACAAGGGAATCCCATCTTTTAAGACTGGCTTCTGCTATAAGGCTGGTCTGCTACAGGCTATATAGCTCAAGCTGAGCTCAAATTCTGAGGTGGTAATCCTCCTACCTCAGACTCCCAAGTGCTGGGATTATAGCTGTGAGACACTGTACCCAGTTGGTGTGTGTGTGTGTGTGTGTGTGTCTGTGTGTGTACATGTGTGTGAGATGATGTATTTGTATTAGTATGTGTGATGTAAAAGTATGGGCTCCCCGTAAAAACCAGAGGACAACTTTTAGAAGTTGATTTTCTCCATCGTAGATTCTGGGGAGCAGATAAGTTGTTAGGCTTGTATAGCAAGCAATTTTTGGTTTTGTTTGTTTGATTGGTTGGTTTTTCTGAGACTGTGTTTCTCTGTGTAGCCTTAGCTGTCCTAGAACTCACTCTGTAGACCAGGCTGGACTTGAACTCAGATATCGTTGTGCCTCTGCCTCGTAAGTGCTAGAATAAAGGTGTGTGCCACCATGCCCTGCTAAGAAGCACTTTTTGAGACATGGTCTTCCTATGTTGCTCTGGCTGGTATTTAGTATGGAGCCAAGGCACATACCATATTCTGCTCAGGGAATTTATGTTTGTGTTCTTGTGTGTATGTTTGCATGTGTAGGCAGGCCAGAGGGCAGCCTCAGGGACCCTTCCTCAAAACACACCTACTTTGGTTTAGTTTTGATACATGGCTTTGAAACATAGCCTTGGCTGTCCTAGAACTCACTGTGTAGACCAGGCTGGCCTTGAACTCCAAGAGATCTGCCTGCCTCTGCTTCCTGAGTGCTGGGATTAAGGACATGTGCCACTCCCTCCCCCATGGCTAAGACAGGGTCTCACTGACCTGGGGCTGGATGATTAAGCTGGCCAGTGAGCTTCAGGGCCCTACCTGAGTCTGCCTCCCCAGTGTTGGGATTACAGTTCTGTGACACTGAACTAGCTCTGGGTCTCAAACTCTGGTCCTTGTGCACTGAGCACTTTACCACCTCGGCTGTCCTCTCAGCCCCTCGGGGAAACTTTTTACAATACTCTCTGACTTTTTCCTAGGAATTCTGGTCATCCCATTGTTCCTCTCCTAAAGTAAGGGCATTAACTACTCAGCTAAATAATTACAGATCTAGAGGCATCTGTGAGCAGGGTACAAAACACAACTGGAGTCACTGGATCTCAGTTGGCACTCAGTCGAGTTCCCCACCCATACACTGAGAATGACAGCTGAAGCGCCACAGGATTGCAGCAAGGTAAAGTCATAAGGCCACAGCAATATCCTAAGCACCACACAGCAGCCAGAACGCTGCCCCAGGAGTTGCTGTTAAACTCGCACAGGACACCACTCTGCTGCTGTCTCACAACCAAGACATGCTAAAATCCGTCTCTGTAGGAGACATCCGTCCCTGTAGGAGACATCTCTGTAGGAGACTCTCTTCCTGAGCAAGACTTGAGAAATCAGTATTTTCCGTTACTGTTTCATGGGTTTGTTTGATATGAGCCATCCTCAAACCCTCTTTCCATCTTAAATACGGGTTTCTCTCGCACCAAGTTCTCTTCTGCAGGGCTTCTAGGAACCCATCAGCACTAAATGCTTCCATGTAATCCATTTTGACACAGAGCTTAGAGCAGACAGGCTGAGTTTTATGACCCAGAGCACTGAGTTGCCAAATAGAGAGAGAAGGAGAGAGAGAGAAGGAGAGGGAGAGAGAGAGAGATGGTGCGATCATCATGTGCAGTTATTTCCTCATCCCATGAATAAGATCACTGGAAATTCTGAGGTCAGTGTCTTTTTTTTTTTTTTTTTTTTTTTTTGTCAGTGTCTTTTTGAGGAAGGATTTGCTTTATGCATTAAGAGATTACTCTTTCACCAAGATTAATGAAATCAGGAAGCTAACAAAGAAGCTAAAAGCCAGGGTGTGATGAATTGTCCTTATAATCCCAGCACTCAGGAGGCTAAGGCATGAAGATCGCTTGCAAATTCATCTGCCAGCCTGGACTATGTAGGTAGTGCAAGGTTACCATGGGCTACATAGTCAGGCTTGGTCTCAACAGCAAAAGTTTAAAGTTTACAAGTCCTGAATTTGTATCTTGAATCAGCACAGGAAGACAGGGAAAAGCAAAGCACTGGTTATTGATTTTTTATAGAAATGATTGGGGCAGACATTACTATATAAGGAGACTCCATAACTATGCTGCCCAATAGAAATAGAATAAGTAGGGGTACCTAAGTAAAATACCGCAACAAAGTGTGTATACAGTGATCACAGTACCAAGTGATCTTCACAATCTAGTGTGTAGTTTCCGGTTTGCGTGCATTTTGAGTTAGAGCAGGGACAGCTCCAGCAGTCGGTGGCTGCATGTGGTCTTCTTAAGATGACAACAGCCACAGGACCTCATAGTACAGAACCTTAACACATTATCCCAGGAAAGCAAACGCTGAGAGCTCAAAGCTCCATCAGAGCTCCAGATTCCAGGTAGTTCGAATCCAAGCTACTCACTCAGCTAGCAGCATGTCCTAGTACTGAAGAGTCCATTGTGAACACTGTAACTACCCTTACCACGTCCAAACCTGGACATGGCTAGGTGTTCGGAATCCAAGGCCTCGTGCATGCTAAAGGCACATTTTATCTATATACAGACTTTTGGAGACAGGGTGTCATGTAGCCCAGACTGGCTTTAAACTCAGCGTTCTCCTGTGCCAGCCTCCGGAATAATGGGATTGCAGACACATCCGTTACTACCACACCAAGCTTCGGCAAGTTCCTTCTAGAGCCTGCTCCTCCTGTGCTGACATATGTTGGAACGGAAACCTGCAATCTTGTGAATTCCCTTAGGCAGTCAGAACAGATTCCAAACTTCACACCAAAGCAGGGGACCTGTCACTTTATTATTTATTTTTGAGACAGGGTCTCACTATGTAGCTCTGGCTGTCCTGAAACTCACACCAGTCTAGCCTCGAACCCTCAGAGGCCTGCCTGCCCCTCTCTCCCCAATGCTAGGATTAAAGGTTGTGCCTTAGGCATTCTTAACTGCTGGGCCAGCTCTCCAGCCATCTGTGTAACTATGTTGTACACCTTTCTCAGCTGAGTTTGGGCAGGCACAGAAAGTTTGGCAAGCCCTGCTCTATAGCTCTATAGATGCAGCTGAATCAAGGGCCAGCTTGTTAACTGGCAGTCAGTATTTTCCTAAAGATTCCTAAATGGTCCCAAGGTGTGATTAGTGATCATTGCTTTAGGCCTGTTCGAAAGAAGAGAAAGCAGATCCACCTGTCAAGCCAGCAGCTGACACCAGAACACCTGGAAGTGGGCCCAAGACAAAGGTAACTCCCACTTTTTCTTCTAGGGATGGGGGTATTAAATTCTTAAAGGCACGTTCAATTAAAATTAAGTATTTAATAACGCCCAGTGATGGCGGTGTATATAGAAACAGTAAACGGGGAGCAGAGGTTAGTATCACAATAAGGCAGGTACCCATATTCCAAACAATCCAACAAATCAAGGGAAGTGACCTTAGGGCATTTTTGGGAAGTGCGACATCTCCAGGGTATTGTGTCATTAAAAGGCAGGAAACCACAGACCCAGAAAGTACCGAATGAAAATTATTTTTTGTCAGCAGATTTTGAAATGGAAACGAAGAGAGAAGATTGTGACGTTTAGAACAAAGCCCTCCCTGCCCACTCCCTCCACCAAGTCAAAGGGCATCGCGGAGTAGGTTGAAAGGTTAAAAAAATACAAGAAAAGTGGGGTGCCAGTCTAGCCAAGACTTACTTAGCTGTAGGACATCCACGTGTCCCCACTGTCCTGTACAAGCCGGTTACAGGTGGCTAGAGCCCGGGGAGGGCGTGTCACCACCCCTTGGAAGAAGTTGGGGTGGAGGTCGCCGTCCGGCCCAGCGGGTGCCCCAGGCCCGGGAGGGGGGGGATGGATAAGGGGCGCTGCCAAGTCCGGGCCGGCCGTCGTCCGGCCGTCTGGGTCCCCCCAGCCGCGGCCCCTCCCCAGGCCCGCTCACCCGATGACGTAAGCCAGGATGAGCAGCTGCACCACGCGGTTCATGAGCCCCACTTTCCGGCTGCGGATGAGCACGATGCGCGGCGTGTCGTACTCGAACAGGAAGGCCCCGAGCACGGAGCAGCAGCCGGCCATGGCTCCGCCGCCCGCTCGGTGAAGTGAGCACCGCGAGGTCGCCTCGTCGCAGCCCGGTTGCGGCCTCAGTCCCGCCCCAGCAGCTCGGGCTCGGGCAGGCCCGCGGCGACGCCCGGAAATAGGCGGCGCGTGGCCTGAGGTGCGCGTCTCCTCCCCCTGAGCCACCCGAGTCCTCCGAGGACGACGCCAGGACTGTGACACCCCCCCCCACACACACACACACAAAGAGCTGGAGTTTGAAGAGCAAGAGTGGCTTTGCCTTCAGGGATGCATTTCCTCAGGAGCGGGACAGGGGAGCACTGTCAAGTCCAAAGTGACGAGGGTAGTGACGCCCCTCAGGCCTAGGAGGAGTGAGAAGCAGATGGGTGCCTCCCTGTTGCAAAGGATGGCTCAGCGAGGCTGAGTTCAGATGCAGGATAATGAGCCACTCCCCTGGGGGAACTTAGGTAAGAGTCCCTTTCCTAGAGGACCTGAGTGCCCAGGAGAAGAGCTGGGCACTGAGGGAGCCACTCCCTCTGGTTGTAATGGAGGAAGCTGTGTCAAGCTGCATTCTGAACCTATAGGGTGGGGTGGGTAGTACGGGGCGGGTGTAAATATTTGGGATGCAAATATTTGGGGCGTTTATAGTAGCCACATAACACCATCATATACCCCTCCTAGAGCTGAAGTCAGGCCAGGTCCCTGCCCCATAATTGTCTTGGATAGGACTGAGAGGAGAAGGTAGCCAGGACCAGGGAGGTGTTCCTGTAGTATCCAGCATTAAGAATGTCTTATCACAGGCTTAGGGAGAACTGGAAAAATAGAAGCCAGCGGGGAGACACCATTGTTACATGTCACATATATCCATTCCCTTCAACCATGCTTTTATAGGTGTTTTATATTTAGTGTAACAAATGCATCCAAGAAGTGTTAATACATACCTTCCTTATGCCAGGTACTGTCCAGTGAACATAGCAGGGAGAGCATCTTGGTCTCGTGCACTATAAATATAGCAGGTAATTTATTTTAGGTTCTTATTGTACTCACTGGTTCTTTTAATTTGGAAAACAAGTAGTGTTTGCCTGATTTAAAAATGATTTTAAAATCCATATTGTTCATCATACTCTCTAAGGATGTGTTCTGAGCCATGGGGTACACACATTACTCCATAGATCACACTTTTGCCAAAATGCTGAATTAGGAAGGCATACCCTTTAGCAAGCTAGAATGTTTTAAGCTTCAAATTTACGTCTGAAGAGTCCAGTGTAGTATCTGTGGTGAAAAAGACTACATTTTCCACCGCAAATGGCTTCAAGCACGCCCTCTACACTGTTGTATCTCACAGTTACGTGCTGATCTGGTCGACCACACAACTTCCATTTGAAAATGTGCTTTATTATATGTTTTTCACTTATGGTCAACTGTCTCATTAGGTAGCTTTCATATTAGTTCATCTTCATATTTCAAATACCTAATATAGCATCCGATGTTACAAATTTGTAAAATGGGTTTTTTAATAAATAAGTTGAATGGGATATGAATTATGGGACAGTAGAAAATATTGATATTAAGATGTAAAACCGATGCATAGTAGTTAAAGAAATTAAAACCTGTTGGTAAATCTGTTAAGGAAATAAATATTTTTCTGCCGGTATCCACAAAGAAATCTTAGAAAACAGTGTTCTTTAGTGATGAGGAGAATTGGGACCATTCAAAGGCATATAATCTGAATGAATTATTAAGAGATGAATGAAGGGGGGGACCCATGGAGTATTAATTTGTAGAACCAGCAGGGAAGGGTTTCTCAAGTGTGTCTGTCAAAACTAGTTCACTGGAACACCACACCTGGGAATCGGAGACAGGTCCATTTTGTGCTTCGCGTTTCCTTCATTCCGTGTGTGTGTTAGCTTTTGGTCGCAGTGACAGAAACCTGGGAGGAAACAAAAGGAATAAAGATGTATCTGGGCTCAAGCTTTAAAGGTTTCCATGACAGTCATGATTTGTCTTCAGATGAGGCAAGACATTGTAGCAGCGAGGGCATGATGGGGAAGGCCTTCTGAGCCCATCGCAGCCCAGAACCAGACATGGGAAGGCATGGGAACAAGGTGTCTTTCCAGAACCAGCTCTGGATTTCTTCACCTTTGATTTTCTACATCCTCCCAGTATTGTGATTGGCTGTTGATGAGATAGGTCCCTCAGGATTCAGTCACCTCTCAGGGATGAAGTCTACAGTTTGGGTAAGAAGCCTTCAATACACAAACCATAACGCCTGTTACCACAGACTCATCCCAATCACTAAGTCTTAAGCTATAAATTGTGTGGTGGCCCTAGAATCCTACACTCTGCAGACAGAGCCAGGAGGACTGGCACACACCTAAGCCATAGAGTGAGACTCCATCTCATCCTGTAGTCGGTGTTTAGGGACACTGGCTACCAGGCCTGGCAACCTGAGTTCAATCCCTGGAACCCGCACGGTGAAGGGAGAGAACGGGCTCCACATGTGCTGTGGCCAATGAATGCACAAACTCCTTCCAATAAACTCAGAGAAACCCTAAAACACAAGAATAAATAGAAGCACTGTGACATGTCTTTAATCTCTCTTGTCTGTTGTCCGTGTCTTACTGGGTTTTAGATCCTGAGTTTCTCATGGGCAGGACAAATGCTTTGCTGCTCTTACATCTACATCCTGATTGCTTTTTCTTAAAAAAAAAAAAAAATTCATTTTTAAAGGATTTTTTTTTTTTTTTTTTTTTTTTTTTTACATTATAGGTACTTGTGTGAGTATGGAGTGTGTTATGAGCTTATGCAAGTGGACATTGGCTCCCCTGGAACTGGGGCTCTAGGCAGTTGTGAGCCGCCTGATGTGGGTGCTGGGAACCAAACATGGATCCTCGGGAAGAGCAGTCCACACTCTTAACCTCTAGGCCACCTTCCCCATCCTCTTGTTGTTGTTGTTGTTTTTGTGGTGGTGGTTGGGGGCGGGGCTTTGTGCAAGTGCATACAGAGGCCAGAGCTGGAATGTTGTGAGTCACCTGACCTGAGTGGTGGAAGGTGAACTTTGGTCCTCTGCAGGAACGGTATGTGTATGGATCAACCACCAGGCCATCTCCTCGGCCCTATAATCATTCTTCCATAACAGAACATCTTAGTTTGTTTCCTGGCTGTGAGATTCCTCAGATACATGACCTGGATTTTTCAGACAAACAAAAAATGTTAGCCGAGTGTGATGGTCCACACCTTTAATGCCAACAGAGGCAGAGACTGGCCAGCCCAGTCTAAATAGCAAGTTCCAGGTCAGCCAAGGTCTCATTAGACCCTGCTTAAAGAAGAAATTCAGTAAGGAACTCTGCATCTGCCTCTACTAGAAGGGGGAACATCCCAGGAAAAGGCAGTGGTGGGTGGGGTGATCTTAATCATGTGATGATATTTACTGAGTGTTGTTGATGCTGGGGCTGTGAGGCCTAGAGAGCTGTGCTGAAATGTAGGCATAGGCATTGGGGAGGAAAGAAAGGAAAGCCCATAGTTCGTTTTTAGAGGTAGCTTGCAAGTGCTTTTCCTTGAGGATGAAAGTGCATTTCCAGCCTTAGGAAGTCTGAATGTCATGTTTTCTTGCTTCCTTTTTGAGAGAGGGTTTCTCTGTGTAGTCCTGGATGTCCTGGAACTCGCTCTGTAGACCAGGCTGGCCTCAAATATACAGAGACCCGACTACCTCTGCCTCTGGAATGCTGGGATTAAAAGCTTGCACGGCCACAACTGGTAGTCTCTTCCTGGTTTCTGTGAGAGCAGTTAAGAGAGATGTACAAGTTCAAGTTCTTACAAATCAGTATCATGAGACATAGTCAGAGAAGCTGATTCTGAAAAATGATTAGGAAAAGAAAGTTTTGCATTTATCTTCTTGCCCTTAGTTCATCTTTCTTTTATGTTCTGAAGACCAGACTAGGCTCAAACTCACAGAGCACAGAGATCCTTCTACCTCTGCCTCCTGAGTGCTGGGACTAAAGGTGTGCACCACCTTTGCCCAGCTTTAGTTGATCTTTTTAAAATCAGCTTTAGGAGCTAGAGATGAACCCCATGGAAGAGAGTTTCCTTTTCGTGCACAAAACCCTGACTTTGACCCGCAGCATCATAAGAACAAATTTTACTGATGTGTGTGTGTGTGTTTATTTGTTTGAGATGGTCTATATGTAGCTGAGGTTGGCCTCAAATCTATCATCCAAGCCTCAGCTTCTCCAGTGCTAACACAGACACAGCACAGACTCCACCCTCCTTACATCTCAGATCTTAATCAAGTTCAGTTGCTTTGTTCATCATGCGCTTGACTGAGTGTGGCTGGCGTTGAGCAACCTTGGTAAGAATGTTTTTCAGTGAGAGTGCCAGCCCAATCCAAGGAGGAAAGAGTAGCCTTCAGCAAATGGCACCAGAGCAGCATGCAAAGGAATGAAGCCGAATTCCCCTCCTTTCGTGCATAAAATTAAATTTGTCTCACAACTACAGAAGGCTTAAATATCTGAGCTCAGCTGACAAACCTCTCAATAAAGACCTGAGTACAGAACTCTGAACCTTGAATTAGGCAGTAAAAAAATTTTTTTTTAAGATTTAATAGAGAAACACAGAAAACACAAGGAAAAAAATACTTGTACTTTGTCACAATTTAAAGTTTTGTCTTTTAAAGAAGCAGGCCAGTATAAAGTCCCCACAAAATAGGGGAGGTACTCAGAAGTCACACATCTCATAAAAGCCCAGAACCTGGACGATCTCAAGTACTGTCACTTAAAATGACAGTGCAGAAACAGACAAAGGAAGAAAACTGAAAAAGCTTTTCTTTACCCAGGTATATATCTGTAGTCTGAGCACTTGGAAGGTGGAGGCAGGAGGGTCAGCACTTGACGATCATCTCTGGCTGTGTAACAGGCTCCAGTCCAGCCACGGTTACACGAGGCTTCTTCTCAAGCCAAAATGGTGGGGAGTACATTTTTTTTTGAAACTATGTAAATTATTAGTAAAGAATCAAAAAGATATACAATGTGGTTAGTTATTAGACAAAAACTAGGTGTCATGATGACATACTATTTCATCCACACTTGCAAGGCTTATGAAGGAGATATTCAGACTGGAGAGTTGGTATAGCAAAGAGCACTGGTCAGTGTGATTCCCAAGACTCATAACCAGCTGTAACT